GCCACCCCCTCACGCAGGCCGGTTGTATGCAGAGCTCTTGATATCACCTTCAGCTATTGAACTCTGTAGCTCCTTCAAAGTGATTGTTGGCCCCTCTAGCTTCTATCACAGAGACCCCTTCTTGCTCTGACACTGAGTTCTGAGGGATGGCCTTGTGTAGGCAGCACCTGGGTGGTATGATGTAGATTCCATTTCCTTACAATCGATCCAGCATTGCTCACTGGGATGTCCAAACACTTGGATAGTATCTGGTAGCCTTTTCCTACCTTCAGCATGTTCAAAACCTCATCTCTAATTTCTTTAGAATACTCTTTGGTCTTAATTTTCTCAGCTTTACACTCAGATTCACAATCTGACCAGTGGTACCTGAATTAAGGACCCTTGTATCCAGAAAAGATGTACCTTTTTAATGATTATGTCCTGTTTAGGGCAATAATTTTCATCCTCGAAACATGGAGCTCCCACAGTAGAGGAACGAAATGCTTATGAAAACAATTCATTATGCACCTAACTGTAATTACTGTTATCAAACCACACGTCTCACCAGCAATATATTTAAATACCTTGTCCATTTTTAACTCATTACAATCTGCCCCATATAGTATTGAGCATGCATACCTTTGTTGGTCATGGTAAAATGGATCAGCATGTGGAATTGGAACTTTCTGTACACTACTGTTTCCTATCACTGTATCTGGCAGTCTGATGGATGAGTCTTTGTTTGATGGGTGCCAGGAGACGCTACCTACCGGAATGCATAGTGCTAACAGTAAAGTTTGGTGGAGGAGGGATAATCAGCTGGGGCTGTTTTTCAGGGTTTGGTGCCCTTAGTTCCAGTGAAGGGTGATGTTAATGCTTCAGCAAACAAAGACACTTTGTTATTGGAAGAAAACCTTGTATCTCCAAAATCGTAACTTTACAGGAGAAGGAAAAAACCTACCAGACTTTTAATGTAAGTCAATGGAACCAGACATTTTCCCAAGTCATTTTGGTCTGTTTCTTTAGGTCCGTTCCTTATGAAATTTACATACTTCCTAAAGGGCAACAAGCATTTTCAAATGATGTCAAAAACTGAAAAACGACAAAAATGGAGATACAAGGTTTTCTTCCGACAGCAGCGACATGCTTCCCACTTTGTGGTAGCCGTTTGAGGAAGACCCTTTCCTGTTCCAGCATGACTGTGCCACTGTGTACAAAGTAAGCTCCATTAAGACATTGTTTGAGAAGTTTGGTGTGGAGGAACTCCAGTGGCACAGAGCCCTGACCTCAACCCCACTGAACACCTTTGGGAGGAAAGCCTTCCCAGCCGAGTGGAAGCGGTTACAGCCACAAAAGGGGGCAACTCCATATTAATCCCCATGGTTTTGGAACAGGATGTCCAACAAGTTCATATAGGTTTGTGTACAGCGTAGCCACGTTTTTGTGTCAGCCTAAAAGGGATAATTATGCAACGTGAGTTGCATGTATGTATGTAAAGCAACAGTAATTCTGTTGTGGACCGAAGGATTAAGAGTTAACAATGTGTTGTATTGATGTGAGAGTGAATTGCTATGAGAGTCAGGTGACTATTGCATTACCTACTTGTAATTCTCCCACAGCAAATGCACACTTCCTGAACTTATTAACATATGAATGGGGCCTGTTAACTGATACCTCTCACTCAAACACCCACCCGCCCACACATATGCAGAAAGTTAAGGGGCTTTCCGTGTTCTAACCCACTTGATACAGCTCATCAGCTGGGTATTACTAACCCAAATAATAACAATAATCTCTGAGAAAATCTTTTACAAACCTGAATTCCGAAAGAGTTGGGACAGTATGTGAAATACAAGTACAACCAGAGAGCAATGATTGGTACATCTTCTATGTTCTATATTTAAACAGAACCAGTCCAAAGAGGAGATAAGTAATGCTTTATCTTATCGTTTTCATTATCTTTGTAAATATGGTCTCTTTCATAAATTAACATTCCAAAAAAGTTGGGAAATGACCTTTTTCAGGCCAAGAAGGTTGTGAAATGTTCAAAAAATATCTTGAACTGGTGATGCAATCATGCTTGAAAGTAGCGCCAGGATAGGGATAGTCCTTTATGAGCAAGGATGGGTTGAGACTCGCCAAAAAATGCGTAATCGAATAATCCAACAGTTTTAAAACATTGTTTCTCAATGAGCAGTTGCAAAGATTTTAGATATTTCACCCTCTTGGTTGCATAATTCCGGCAAAAGATTAAGAGAATCTAGAAAAATCTCTATGAATAAAGCACAAGGCTGAAAATCACAACTGAATGCCAGTGATTTTGACCCCTCAGATGGCACTGCATTAAAAACTTCAGTGAAGGACATCACTACATGGGCTCAGGAATACTTAGACAAACCACTGTCAATAAACAGTGTTCATCACTGCATCCAGAAATGCAAAAGACTGTACTATGCACAGCGGAAGTCATATGTCAACAACATCCAGAAACACTGCCGACTTCTCTCGGCTGGAGCTCATCTGCAATGAACTGATGCATAGTGGAAATGTATTGTGGCCTGATGAGTCAACCTTTTAGATCATTTATGAAAATAATGAACATTATGTGCTTCAGGCCAAAGAAGAAAAGAGCACACAGATTATTATCAATCACTACTTTGAATTTCAGGTGTTGAAAGCCATCATCTTATTTTGTTTTGTATCAGGAGAAGGAAAAACAGTGATTTACAGCTGGGAAAGCTCCACTGGGCTTCTCCTCCATCTTACTGTTGCACATGCACATGCCTCTACAGTTTCAATGAAAAGCCCCTCCCAATGTCAACTGAGCTACCTTGTGGTCAGCCAGGACTGTGTTTGAATAGATCTAGACTTGATTCCTCTACCTAAGTACCTGCATGTTTCCCTTGAATTTCCACGACCTGAATTTTTACAACTTGAATTTCCTCAACCTGAATTTTCACTACCACTTTAATACACATTTGAATATATTTGAATATTCAACGAGAGTATGAATGTTTGTATTTGTGGATAGTCAGAATTTTTAAAACCTACATTTTTATATCTAATGCTTGAATTTTTTAAACCTGAATTTTTATGACTAAGCTTTTAAATCAAATTTTTTGTCTGAATTTCTTACTACCTGAAATATTTAATCCTGATTTTTTTATGACATGATTTTTCCCCTGAATACGACTTCTTACTACCTGAAATTTTTAAACCTGAATATCTTATGAACTGACTTTTTTATACCTAATTTTTTAAATCTGAATTTCTTACTACCCGAATTTTTAAACCTGAATTTGTTACTATCTGAATTTTTTAACCTGAATTTTGTACGACCTGATTTTTTTTAACCTGGGTTTCTTACCACCAGATTTTTTAAACCTGATTTCTTTTATAACCCAAAAGTTTTATGATGCAAATTTTTTAAGCTTGATTTTTTTACAATCTGAACTTTTTGATCCTGTATTTTCAAGCCTTGAATTTCATATTCAAAATTCAAATGCCTAAAATTGTCGTGAAAATTTTCAAGAACATCAAATTGCATATGTAATTTTTTTTCAAGCATTATTAATTATGGTTTATATTCTGGTGACCCCATCATAATCACTGTTTTCTGTTTTTAATAGCATTTCACACACTGTCCCAACCTTTTTGGAAATGAGGTTTGTACATAAACACAGACAGAACCTGCGTTGCAGGGCCTTATTTGGGTGGTTTTCTCTCAGCTGTATTTGACTGTGCTTACAACGAGAGCGAGTGTGTGTTACCCCAGCGCTCTGTGATGTCATCAGAGAGATTACACTGAGGCCATATGGCTGACTGCCTGCTGCTCTAATCCAATAACAACCTGCTCTTCCTGTTACACTCACACACACATTAATGCTCGCAAGCATGCATTCACACTCACATATGCAAAAACACACACACGTTCACACCAACACACAAGCATGTCACACTTACAGGCACTCATACTTCCTTTTCACAAACTCTGAAGCAAGAATGTAGGTCAGTGTACATATCAGCCATATGGAGCCAAACACTGACCTCCTGGACTTGCGTAAGACTTAAACATGCACACAGTAGCCTGTTTACTTTCATACCTGAGCTCCCTGCTCAGAGACTGATGCTTTTGTTTCGCAGTGAATGGACCGCCGTGGGCCCGAAGTGACGTTTAATCGCATTAGATCTTAAGGGATTACCACGGACAGATATGGGACAGGTGGATGTGGCGAGGCCAGCAGTTCCTCAGCCCATGAATAAAGGCCATGGTAATGTCCACCACTAGGGCTGGGCGATCTGGCAATATATATCGATATAATGGTAAATTCACAAAATCACAACACAGTGTAACATGCTTTCCTGAACATATCATTCATAATCATCAGTACTTGTGGAAAACTGACCAACTGCATGTACGCCAAATATTGAAAACATTTTTTATTATATGTATTATATATGATTTATTACAGATAAATACTACTACTACTTTTTCTCTGATCAGATGTAAAAAAAAATATTGTGACATATTGAAGTATCACGATATTATATTTTTTCGTATCACCCACCCACCGCTATCCACCAGGCCTAAAATCAATCTTCTGTACCCAAAGGAAATCAGAATGTTGAAATCCCCGTCAAAGACGTCTTGTGGAACAAAAAAATGCAAAATATTCACGTTAAAGAAGTGACTAATTTTCACAGCCCACTCAGTTCAAGCACTGTGTTTCAAGCGGCCCAAGCAGTGGAGTGGAGTGCAGTGGGCGTGGCCACGGCCGCGCAGTCCAAATATGGTCCGTGACGCAATGAGCCGGAGGTTCCGTTCCTTTCCACCCGCATTCCGGCCGGCCACGCCTCCTCTGAGCAGCGATTGGCTAGCAGTTCACTCTAACAAGCTGTCCGCCAATAGGGAGTACGCGGCAAGCCAATCCGCGCGCGAGAAGGGGCGGGCTTTTTCCTGAATACGGGCGGGAAAAAAACAACAACGACTATAAAAACGATTCTAACGGAATCTCCTCCTCAGAGGAAATGTGGACGGTTTAGCTGGCGACGGCTACCGACACCTCCTTTATTAAAACCTATTTTAGCGCTATTTTGTACATTTTAATTCTGGTTAGGGACCCAACGAACCCAAAACAATGAAGGTCTCAAGCATAGACTGTCGCCGCCTGAGGAAAATCCTCCGAAAGGAGTGCGGCAAGTGTCTGGTGGTGGACTGCCGACCGTACTTCTCTTTCTCCAGCTCCAGCATCCGAGGCTCCGTCAACGCCAACCTGAACTCGGTGGTGGTGCGGCGGAGCCGAGGCGGCCCCGTCCCCCTCCGCTTCGTCATACCGGACGAGAAGGCTTTGTTTCGGCTTCGGCAGGGCAGCTTCTCCGCCGTCGTGGCTCTGGACGACCGGACTCCTCACTTCCAGAAGCTGAAGAAGGACAGCGTCGCTCAGATAGTCATAAACAGCCTGGCACCTCACTTAGCGAGCTCCGCTAACATCTGCTTCCTGAAAGGTGAGCTCGAAACCCCGCTTCTTGTTCGGTTTTTGACGTTCCACCTTAAATGGTGCGACGGGAACATGTACCATTAAAGGTGGAACGGGTAAAGAAGCTGATAAATAAGAAGCTGACTTGCTTTTAAAAACATTTTCTAGCCAATTTAAGCACCAAATCGGCATTTCGGCATTAGCCAGCCAATTTAAACCAATTTAACTGTGTTTTTTCCTCTTGTTTTTCACTGCTTTGCTCCATAGAGACTGTTAGTTTGACTGGAGTATGTCTATGAACTACAGTTCAGTACAACAAAATGAAATGGAAATGCCTAATAAAGTGAATCATTAATTTTTTAGACCATTTAACTCAAAAACCAAAGACCAGGCTGTAAATTAGGCTTCTAACATCATAACAGTAAAACTAGATGTTCCCCAGCACTGTTTTATAGACTATTCACAGTCAACTGTATGGTAGATCTGAGCAATATGACAAGATTTATTGTTATCATGATAAATTACACCAAATATAGCACTTAAAAATCATTTCCCAGCTGCTCGTTTGCTTAAAAAGAGCACTGTTTAGTTGGATTTAATGTAGCAGTGTATGAAATGTTGTATACAAGTAATTCAGTTATTGGTAGTATTTTTAAAATACGGCTCCACTTTATCTGTTCTAACTTATTAGATAATGTCAGAAAAACTAAACATCCTGACACATTGTGTAGCGTGAAAACTTCCTGAAGTATCATGATATTACATTTTGCCATATCGCCCACCTGTACTTTACGGTTAACACTATCAGCGTCTCCCATTTCGGTTCCCTGGGTCCAGTTTGTGGGAGCCGGGCCTTCACGAGCGACTCATTTTTTTCAGCTCTTGGAAAAAAGACTGAGTGTGCGTCAAAGCGCGGATGAGTCAGAGGCTTCAGGACGAGCACAGATTATTAGCCTTCCTGTTAGACAGCAGTTTATTCAGACCAAATTGGTGTGAGGGGGGGAATAATCTATGTAGATGACTATTTATGGACCATTTCACGTGGTGGTCAGTGTCTATAAACCCAGTCCTGTTAATGAAGTCAGAGAAAAGAAACCACGCGTTTATCTTACACCTCATCTAGGTGGCCCGTTTTGCCTTGCGACATTCAGATAAGCCCATCTTTAATATGCCTGTGAAGGTTTTCAGCCACCCAGCTTCTTGTATTGTCCATTAGTAGTGCTTGGTCTGTCAGATGTCAGATGTTTAAAGTCTGGTAGCTTTGATTTGCTACCACTGCTGCTACCACAACTACTACAGTTCAGCTCAAATCTGTATTGTTCTATATACCCTGTATCTTTAGTTTACGTACTGTTAATAATGTATTTTATAATACCCTTTTTAATACCTTTATGTTTTCTCTATTGTCCATTTATGTGTGCACCAATTCCAAAGTGCGTTTGGCCAATGAAGTGATTTTGACTCAGACATAAACCCCATGTTTTTTTGTCTTTCCCAGGAGGTTACGAGAGCTTCCATTCCCACTACCCTGAACTTTGCACTGAGACAAAAGCTGCAGAGCCCTGTGAGACGGAGCGGGCAGCCAGCGGTCACTGCGAGAGGCTGAGCGGCCAGCAGAAGCACAATTACGATCAGGTACGTGAAGAGATAAAGCCCACTTCCATTTAACAAAGCCACTGCTCCACTTCCTCATTTCAGCCCACTTCCGTCTAAACCGCTTCCCCCGGTGTCTGGGGAATCTCTGTGGTTTTATCTCACCCTGCTGTGATGGACAGGAATGTCAAGAACCGGAAAAAAACGAGAACAGACTACAGGTGTTAATAATAGCCGTGTACATCGGAGTAGACCTTGTGGTTTCCTATTGTTTCTGTAACATCTGTGATTGTAAGAGTTGGCTGGTGAATGATGCTCATGTGACAACCTGTGAACTGTAGAACAGCGTCGATCGGAAATGTTTCTGTTAATTAAGGATTAAAGTAGGCAGCTGTATTTGTTGACAGCCACTCATCCAAGCCCGGCCTGAGCAGTTTAGCGTTATTTCAAAGGCTCCCGGCTGACATCAGACAGGCTTTTATCCCTGACCTTTGGCCTAAAATACATACAAACAGTAATAAAAAGGACAAACGCTCATGCCAGGACTGGGCAGTGTGGGCAAAAACCTTACTAAAGTAGATTTTCTCTATTTTTTTTTTTTTTAATTTGCTCATACTAATGCTCATATTTGAGTCTACGAGGTATTTTAAACCCTTTGCATAGACTTCAAAGTTCCCTCATTCCAGTCCACTCCACTTTTTTGTAGCAATCTCCACTTGTTTCTAGACATTTTCCTCAAATTTATGGCCTGTTTCACTCCCTATAGTCTATAAACGCTAACACTACACTCTGCTAACTGTGCGACTAGTCTGTGCTGTTGCAAGTGAACAGCTAGACTTCTTCGCACTTCCATCTAGGGAGTAAAAGGTGCTTATCGCCACCTACTGTATAGAAGTAGCAGTAATTCAAAGTTTAAGCCTTTGCTTCTAATATCAGGTTGAGGAACAGAACAGCATGTTTTGTTGACTGACTCTAACTTACACTGTTTATTTGATCTTTTTTTTATGTGCAGGGAAAACCAGTGGAGCTGCTGCCGTTTCTGTACCTGGGCAGCGCTCATCACGCCTGCAGGTACGACTACCTGAGTGACCTACGCATCACGGCGCTGCTGAACGTGTCACGCAGGGACTCACGGCCGACCAAAGGTCAGCATCGCTACAAATGGATCCCGGTGGAGGACAGCCACACGGCCGACATCAGCTCGCACTTTCAGGAGGCCATAGACTTCATCGGTGAGTGATGTCAATGCACTTTCTTTTTCTTTTCCCCACCGCGCACCTGTCTTCGGGGGAATTCCTGCAGAGTTTCTCATTATGCTGAGATGTGTTGGTTCTAGAAAATCCTATCATTTGAACACAACCTGAGTTTAAGGCTGGATTTAAGCGTTAGAAGTTTATTTAGAAGGCCTTGATGTTTTGCTTTACATTCAATTAACAATACGCAATTACTTATATATGATTATATAATGACATAATTAAATACATTGTTAGTTTCAAATTTGCGTTTGATTGAGATGTTGTGTGGACAGGTTTGATTTAGTGCATCTGGCTTTTTTCTGTTTGTGTCTGTCAAAACATGGCAAAATGTCTTGCATACAAGACTGTATGCACAACAGTAACCTGACCAAATTTATATTATATTATATAAAATGTATATATTATCTAAAATTAAAAATTTATATTTATATTATTGTTTATAACTATTTTATATGTGTATATATAAGCATGAATGTGATGAGGATTGTCAGTGTAGGATCTGCACTTTCCACCCAGTTTCTCCGCTTGTTTCAATGAGCCATGAATGAGTCTAACATATTACAAATAGTACTCGTACACCAACGTTACGTAAAATCCTTGTGAATTACAAAACCTTTTCATGGAAAGGAGTGAAAGCCTATAGATAGAGCCGTGGCTATTTAGGGGAGTTTTAAATTAGGACTTCCTGCTCTGACCTTCGCTCACGCCGAAGCTAAAATAAGCCGAACTCTCTATCTCCTGGATCTATCCGCCCTGCCGCAGAACCTCTTTTTTTCCTCTCTCTCTTTTCCTTTTTTTCACAATTCCCCAGGTTTGTTTTAGTTCCAGGAAAAGCCATTGGCACCTTCTGTTTAAAGCTAGAAAAATGAAAAGGAAGATAGGAAGAAAAACATGCTGGCTTGAGTCACGGCCTGCGCGCACACACACACACACACACACACACAGCAACCTGATTATAACGGGCGTGGCCAGTGCGTCAGAGGATGAGTAGTGCTTGAATGGCAGGGGCAGGCATTTGGTGTAGGTGTTGGGTGTTTTCAGACATGGTCAGGGAAGAAATGGTCCTGACTGTGTAAAATCTGTATATATGGGACATATTTATGTTGAATGTTGGTACTCCCATAACATCGCTGTCAAAAAAACCACAAAAACAATATCTATTTTTATTTTTCTACACTATTTGATCACAGCAGCTTTCCTTTACAATATGCGAAAATTTAATAAAGAATGGACCAATAGAAATGCTCCAATATTGGGAGAATTCTTCATATACATACATATATATACATGATCCCACGTCCTCACATTGTATAAAAACAAACCTGTATGTATCTATGTATTGAGTGTGACAAAAGGTGTGTTCTGGAGCCTGATTGGCTGTTTACCTGATGCAGGTATTTATGGAATGGCCTGCTGGCCATGTGAGTCATATCCAAACACACAGGAAAAAAACAACAACACTAGTTGGATAAGCACTGAATGAATGTTTAGCAGACTATTTATAGCTCAAAGGCACTTCAACTCCCAGAATCCTCGGCTGACCCGTCGTTCCAGCGTTTCAGGTGAAGTGTTTGCCCGGATTAGGCCGTGTCTTGCGTTTTCACCTGATTACAGTCGAGCCCCCTCCCCTGCATTCTAAAGTGTTCTAGTATAAACAGTCGGCTCTTTTGGGCCCGAAATAGCCTGCAGAGCTGTGAGGGAAACAAAAGGGCCTTTTGGCAGAATAAGGGAGGCAAGAGTATGATAATATTTAGCCGCATTAGTGTGTGAGATCAGCGATGGTCATCGTGACACACACTCAGACTCGGCCTCCTCCGCCGCAGATGGCCTGATGGGCTTTAGGATGATTCACCCCAGCAGGTTCTGTTTGGATGAGATGGACTGTCAGAGAGGCTTCACTGAGAGAGAGAGAGAGAGAGAGTAGGATGGTGGATTAGAGTCTAAGGCTTGCTGAGTCTGTGGCCTGTAAATGACGGGTGGGTGTGTGTGCATTTACCTGAGCGGGCCTGACACACTGGCCATGATCTAATGAGTCAGAGCAGCCATAAGCTGCTTCAGCAAAGAGGCAGTAAGTAAAAATATCTGACATTTAAATGGCCGCACCTCAGGAGGGAGATTGAACGGAGAGCATGGCATAAATATCTGAAAAATAACAAAGATCACTAAAAAAGGAAGAGGAAGTGAGGAATCTACGTTGTTTACAGTGTCTGCTAGTCAAATTTCCAGGCAAAAACAGAAAACAAACAGACTTGAGTTTCCCTGGCCCTAAAAACAACATGACATTTTACCCAGCTAGTCTTGCTTTAGAGGATGTGTTACTTCTTTTCACTTCAGAAAATCAAACTTTTGTGCACCTTTTCTTACATTTTATGTAATTATTTCTGACTTGTAGCTCATAAAACAAGCATCGTGTGGAAAGCGCAGATTCTAAACGTTTAATCTATACCACATTTGTGTTTGTAAGTGGAAGAGGAGATATTTTATTTGACTTTGATGAAAATTTGATGAATTAGACAGAAAAACAACTTTAGAATTTTTGCCACGTTTGTCATGTTTTAGGAAACATTGAAAGTCAATTCGAATCTATTAATACAGAATGTAAATTGAACTTCAATAATAAATCATGAAACTATGAAATACATGTCCATTTCTCAAATGCGTCTTCCTTCTTTCTCTGTCCAGACGAGGTGAAGCAGGAGGGTGGTAAAGTGCTGGTTCACTGCGAGGCTGGAATCTCCCGCTCGCCCACCATCTGCATGGCCTACCTCATGAAAACGCAAAGACTGCGGCTGGAGGAGGCGTTCGACATCGTCCGGCAGCATCGCTCCATCATCTCGCCCAACTTCAGCTTCATGGGTCAGCTGCTGCAGTTCGAGGCCGAGGTTTTATCGTCCACTCCGCCCTCCGCTCCGCCGGCCACGGCGCCGTGCGAACAGGAGGCGGCGTCCTTCTTCAACAATAACAACAACAACATCGACAACAAGAACAGCAACAGCCAGTTCACGTTTGACGAAAGCTTCGAATCCTCCGTGTTCTCCTTCCCTACCTCCTTCCTTCCCTCACCGTTCAAACTCAGTCCCATCACTGCCCTGCCTTAGCGGGACCATCGGCGTCCCGTCTCTCTGACTACTTGAAAGATAAATAAAGGCAAGCATAACAAGCAATGGAACAGCGAGGAAGGAAAAAAGAGAAAGACTTTGTGTTATTTAAAAGACTGAGTGTCTGAGTCCGGTTACGGAAATGTGTTATTTTCATTGATGTTGTTTGCCTTAGAAAGAGTCGCTCTGTGCAGCGAGTACACTGCAATACAAGCCTTAGTTTAATCATGTTATTTCTGCCTATTCCGCCCTCCAGGCATTTCAAATTAAATTATTGATTTTTTTAAAAAGTGGTTTCCTTTTTTATGAAGTGTGGACCTGTTAATAAATGTTTTTACAGAAAAGTACAGATTTGTCTGGTTTCTTGTCTAACCACATCTGCTCATGAGCTGGAAAAATGATCTGAATTCAAATACAGTATTCACGTGACCAGCTATGCTATAAATATGATTTCGATTAATATTTTCAAGTCACTGCATCAGATTTTAAAATACACATACTTACATAGACAAATAAAAAGACTGCATAACCTACATTATGGCTACATATTAACCAAGCCAAAACTTGGTAAACTATTCAGGACCTCAGTTGCAGCTTATAGACTACACTTCGCTGTTGTCGGAAGAAAAACCTCGTATCTCCAAAATGGTAACTTTACAGGAGAAAGAAAAAACCTACTTTACTCTTAATGTAAGTCAAATGGAACCAGACTTTTTTCCAAGGCATTTTGGGCCGTTTCTTCTGGCCCTATTGTTCATGAAATTTACACACAATGTAAAGACCGACAGGCATTTTCAAATTATGTCACAAACTGAAAAACAACAAAAACGGACATACGAGGTTTTCTTCCGAAGGCAGCGACTTGCTCCTTTAACTTACTGTGTTGTGTGAAAATTAGAGTAACAGTGCTGGTCTTGAGACTGAGATGATTCTCAGGGATCACTGAGGCTCCCTGGGCCAAGATTTATCAGCTCCAGTCTCAAACGTAGTCCACTTTCACCGTCCAGTGCTGTGTTCTTTCTAGCTCTCTCTGGTTCAGCTCAAGATCAACTTGCTCGCTGGCTAACGATAGTGGTTTGCAATGCAGGCTAAGGTACGACTGGTGGGCGATACTAATAAAATTCAGTTTCACAATATTTTCCAAATATATCGCAGTACTTAACATTTGATTTACCATTAATAAATATGGTAAAAGAATGTGTTAACTAGGCTGATAGAGCTTGATCTGGCCTAGAATTTGGCCTAGTTTTAGCCAGACAGACACCACGTCTTCAGAATGGAAATATCGCTGATGTTGGAACGAAACCTCGTATCTCCATGTTTGCCGTTTTTCAGGTTTTGACATAATTTGAAAATGCCTGTTGCTCTTTACATTGTATGTAAATTTCATGACAAATGAACCAAAAGAAACGGCCCAAAATGACTTGGGGAAAAAGTCTGGTTCCATTGATTTACATTAAAAGTACAGTAGGTTTTTCCTTCTCCTGTAAAGTTACCATTTTGGAGATGCAAGGTTTTGGTCTGAACACAGATATATACTGTTTTCAAAACAATCTGAAGCCCAAGCAATTCAAAATTCATTTTGTTGTATCTTTACTGGCATATATAGTTTATAGTCGTAACTGCAACCCAAAAGGCGAGAAATGCTGTAGAAGACTAAAACACTCATAGTAACCAAGAAAGATACAACAGTGACCCCTGTTGTGACCGTGAAATGGGTGAATATGCCACCAGCAAAGTAATATCCACGTGCACTGTGAGTGGTGTAGGCAATATGATGATATTAATTATATATTAAGTCATTAAATTACATCACTATACACTTTCCTGAGCATATTGAGGATATCGTATTGAAAGAACACTGAACAACTGCATGTTTCATTATAAAGAGGATGTCATTCATCCTGTTAAATTGGATGTACTTGAATTAAAAAACATTCTATGCGTAATATTTGACAATGTTTTTGTGGCAGCACAAGTTTTTGTCTGCTCTAACATTGGAAAAGAAAATGTGATGCATACTGTACTTTATGAAAATGTTTTTAACCTTTTCAACTCCTTGAGACCACCGGTGGTTCTAAAACACACTTCGTCATATTCTTCATAACTTTCATATTTCATAAGCTTCATTCAAAAGGTGGGGGTCGTATGAGAGCTGTAACTGTCTTCCTTCCAGTCAAATAGATGGGTGATGTAATTTTAAACCCTTATAATAAAAGAAGCTGAACTCACAATTTTTTTTTTTGTCTACTGAAAGTCGACCCATTTTTCCACAAATCTGGGCTATAAACAGATGGCGTCTCTTCAGTGATCTGCTCTGTAAAAATTATTTTTATAAAAAAATACAAACAGCATCTAAGATTTTTGGCTTTCAGCAGTAAATTGTAAGCATATAGCGATATGTGTGATCATAAAACACATGTTCTGTTAATTTGAGGGGAGCTTTTACAAAAAAATAAAAATTTACATTTATTTCATGCAGTTACTGAATAACTTGCCTTACGATTTGGTCATGTAAATTCAGATGGACAAACCAAAATACACCATGGTGATTAGGTACCTTAATGTTATATTTATGCCATATCGCCCACCCCAAATTCCAAAATCCTGGGTATTACTGACATTTTCACAGCATTGTTTGAAAGCATTCTACAGAGCCCCTAAGTGACATGGTGATTATGTTACAGTAAGGCATAGCCACAAATTAATATATTGAGGCCACGAGTTAAGTTTCTTCTAACTTGTGGCCTTAATATGTTAATTATATGAACTAGTATCCTTAATATAGTGATTTTTCGGTCTCAACATAGTAATTGGAAGCCTCAAAATAGTAATTTGAGGCCATGCCTTGTTAAAAACAATCACCATGTCACCCTATGGGCTCCGTACATCCCAGCTTAAACATTTAAAAACCGCTATTCCTGAACACAGAGTAATTTGTAATAGAAAATGTTATAGCAGCACAGTTCATGAAAGATATGAGGTGATGAAATGAGCGAAAAATAAAAGAAAAAGTCCAAAAAAATGGACAGCAATACAGAAACGTGCGCAATGTTACAGTAAGTTAGCTGAACATTTCCCCAATGAAAACCTCTCTCATATTGGCGCCCAAAGCTGTCTCCGTGAGGGCTCCACCAACGTACCGAAATAGGGGTGCAGCTGAGGAAAGAGGTGAAAATAAATATAGCTGAACTCAAAGGATTAATAAAGTCTTTCGAAAGAATATTATCAATCTAGATCTTAAGCATTTTCGCACGAGATGACAGCAACAGATTTGCAATTTGTCATTGCGCAAAGGCGTTCGAGTGGCACAGATTCCCCTAATTTGTCAAAGTAAGTTCTCCCGTGGCCCCTACCTCCGCCATTTTCCTTGTTGTTTCTGTTTCGTGAGGAGAAGAAGATTTTTTGTTTTTCATATTTACTCAGGATCTGGATTTATTATCGTGCAGCCGATTCGACTTTGTATTTATACCCTTCTTCTCTTTGCAGAGGAGGAGGAGGGTGTTTGACTTATTTTCGCAGCGGACCGGTATCTGCAGAAAGCGAACATGTACATTAAGCAGGTGAGTGAGGGACAGTTTAGTGAAGGCTAAGCTAAGCTAAGCTAAACTGAACCGAATTTAATGTTGCGCTTCTGTTAGATATTCGTGTATAAACGAATATATTAAAGTTCTCCTCTTTATACGTATTAATATACCATACGTTAATTTATTTAGGTAGCTTTATTGGTGATGAAATGATATTTGTTACAGGTGAGCCAAGCTAAACTGACCGAAATTTTCCGCTAGTCGCCAGCTTCTTCGAATTTCCCCGTTCCACCTTAAATAGTGCAGCAGTTACATTCTGGCGCCTGAGGCCAGAATGAGGCGCCAGAATGGAACTGCCGCGCCATTTAAGGTGGAACGGGGAAATTCGAACAAGAAGCTGGCGAGAAGGTAGCCAGCTTCAGGTTGTGGCTAACTAAGTTCGCGTTAGCTGTTATTCGCTTGGTCTGAACAGGATTAAAAATTTGTGTGCTTTGCTCATAGCATTGAAAAATAAAAAGTGAAAAAGTATCACATTTCGTTGCTGTTTTTTTGTATCTTATGGCCTCGTATGTTTAACTTGAGCTAAGTAGCTAACGTTAGCTTTTATAGTTAACCGACTACATTGATCTGACAGTCAACTTTTCTGTGTGTTGGGACACAAGTTAGCCAGAAAGGTAGCTAACTAGTTAACAGTTAACTGGTTTTAATCCTGTCTGCTTTGCCTCAGGGTGAAATTGCGATTTCTGGTGACTAGACAACGTTTTGTTTATTCATAGCTGTAATTTTAACGTCAGATTTTTTACCCACATTTGTCTGTCTGGTGAGAGAAACGTTATGTTGGCCAAATCATTAAAAGAGAAATTTCACCGATTTGTCAAAATCTCTGAATAATTCAGTCCTGGAGATGTAAACAGAGTCATTCACAGACATGTGATGTGATGTTCATTGTGGAGAAGCCTACAGAGTGATGTCTGTACAGTGGTGGTGATAGGAACCAGGGGTCATGATGACTACAGCACAAACATAACGCTAACCATTTTATTTACTATCCAAAACCACCAGTGAACCTACACGTGTCTTCTGATTTTTTGTATGCGGTGTTGATGATGGTAAAATAGTGGTAAATCTAGAAAAATACATTTTCTTTCGGGACTGATTTTGTCTCCCCCATGTACCCCTCTTAATAATATGCTTTAGGCATCAAAACTATAGTAAATCAATGTCTCGGACATCATATTTGTAGCCATTTTGTGTAATAGCTTTCTATGAGGGAGCTTTTAGAGGCATTGAACTCTTCAGACATCTGGTTCCTATCACCACCACTGTGAACAAATCTGTGGCATTCCCTTTAAACCTTTCTGTATTAGCTGGAAAGCTGATAGATAGTTTTAATCCTCTCTGTTTCCCCTCAGGTGAAATTATGATTTCTGGTGGCTAGACAGTGTGTTCTTTTTTTCATAGCTATAATTTTACTTATGTCAGACTTTTTACATTTTTCTGTGTGCTGAGATATGTTGGTGAAATCATTTAAACCAATAGTCAGCTGAAAAAACATTAAAATTGCTGCAAAAGTCTGGAAAGAACTGTAGAACAATTGTATTTATGAAGAACAGCTGTATTAATGCAGGACTTTAACCACAGTTTATTGTATATTTTACTCTACACTGATGTATAAAACCACATTTAGTAGCATGAGCACTGTTAGAAAATAGTGTACAGGCCAGGTATTGTATAAATAAGCCTCATTTGCTGAATGCAAAAATGTTTAAGCTTCAGAAACACAAATGATGATGTTTAGTTTAACTTTTAGGGCATTAAGTAACGTACAGAAGTTGTAAACTTACACTTCATGTCACCAGGTCATCATCCAGGGCTTCCGCAGCTACAGAGACCAGACAGTGGTCGACCCCTTCAGCTCGAAACATAATGTTATCGGTGAGTTTGGCAGATTTCTCAACGTAGCAAGGATGAGCCAATCATGAATTTTTATGGCTGATTTTGATTTATTTAGAGCCAAGTTGGCCGAAGGCTGATTTTTATTAGCCATTTTTTTTAAATCTGAAGCTCATCCTGTGTGGGGTAAATGAACACATGAAACATAATAGCGCATTTTCAGTACTTATTTCTATTAGCAGAACTAAACAGCATTTTTGCTCTTTAACATCAATCAAATGAAGTGCTACACCTAAAGTAAGAGGCAGTTTAGCACAATGAGTCATGCTTAATTGTTCTGTGATATTTTGGTACAGGTGTAGCAGCAGCAGCATTCATACACAGCGCAAGCGGACCTAACCTGCCACGTTATTCAAATCATAAACTTGCAACACAGAACTTAAGTGTAGAATAAAAACAGTAAATTGGTCGATAATATAAATAGCTCAGTTCATATTTTGAGCAAAAATCTGTCTATTTTGATTGGCTGATTCTAATTGCGCATCTCTTAATATGAGTGTAATATACTAACGTTTATTCGATATATAATATGATGATATAGTGCTGTTCCATGTACTAGTAAATGTATAACGAACAAACAACTGGGCTTTAAGTGTGAAGATATGTTAAAAGATTATCTGTAACTTTGATCACACCCGCCGTGAGTTTTGTCTTCCTTTGAAATGGCGTGCAATGGCAGGTGATTAGCTTGAATCACATTTAAATAAAAAATACATAAAAAAAAAAAATGTTTTTGCCTTTTTGATGTCATTTTGGTGAAGTGCAGAAATAAATGAAAGTGTTGTGATGGCCTATAAAATTGCCTACATTCTCTCGTACTCACACTGTGTTGTTATTTTCTGCAGTTGGGAGAAATGGATCTGGAAAGAGTAACTTCTTTTACGGTATGTACTGCTCACTGTAGGCGTAAGAGTTGCGAATAATGGGCACACCGCTTGTTATGTAGACCCTCACGGCATAAATCAGTGAGGTTCTCTTAAGCAGTACACTTAACCTCAAGCAACTGCAGCGACGTAGTTGGCTTATTTATATATTATGCTTGGTGTGCGTGTGTGTAATAGATACAATAAGTCTGTGAATATTTATATACAGTAGACAACTTTGTTGTATTTTTGTTATTTATCTCAGCCAAACTGTTTAACTGCTCAAACACGTCACTTTAAATGTACAGAGATAATACAGTTGCTGTTGTGAACTTGATATCTAGGGCAACTGAACAAGCCCTTCATGTTTAACTAAAATGATGTAATTTGTCTCTTTGCAGCCATTCAGTTTGTGCTGAGTGATGAGTTCAGTCATTTGCGCCCGGAGCAGCGCCTGGCCCTGCTGCATGTGAGTAAAACTGGGTGGTGGTAATTTACCATTCAGAGAATTAGATGCTGCTTAAAAGTTCATGAGTTTATTCCCAGTGGACAGCTACTGCTATTGTATAATGGAGCAAAGCTCTTAAAGGGCCCGTATCATAGAAAAACAAAATGTTCCTCTTTTTTAAAATAAAAGTTTTAAAATGTACCATTCAGTCTCCGGTCTGTGCAGTTTCTGGCAGGGGTCGGAACCCAAACGTTAAGAAGAGTCACTTTGTCCTTTCAATAAAAATCAAACCACCTTGGGAGCCACAACATTTTATGTCTGTTTTGGCTGTAAATATGTCTCAGTATGTGCTGATGTACTAGTATAGGCTAAAAATATAACATAAACGAAAAAAAATGCAGGCTTACTTTGCTCTGCTTTAAGCTTTAGCGCCGCCATGTCTAATTTTCTTGCATCTCCAGCTGGAAAAGTGGAACAGTTTCTTGTAAAATGTCTCAACGTTCGACGTTTTACGAGGCTGAAGTCGCTTCTCATTCGCCGGCTTCTTGTTCCAATTTTGCAGTTTCACCTTAAATGGTGCCTGAAAAGCGCCAGAATGTAACTGCTACACTATTTAAGGTGGAATGGGACAATTCGACCGAGAAGCTGGCGAAGGAGAAACTGACCTTAGCTTTGCGGATTTTTAGTGTTTGTCAGTTTCTCGTTGCAGATTAAACGTATCAGGAAACCAGCTGGAGCGATTATCAACTCAAATAAGTCCATTTATCTCCAAATTATTGATGTTCGTCTTAAATCCTTCTCCTTGCTGTTTCGTTAGCTACTAGCTAGGTGAGATTGTTATCTGCGTTGCTATGGTGACCGGCAGTATCTGCGCTAATCTTCAGGGTTAAAGGGTGAATTAGCAGTTCTACATTAACTCCAGAGTTTAAGACCATTTATTGTTAAACTGTGTTGAACGATCAGCAGAGCTTTATTTTACTGTAAAGGAGGATTATTTTATTTTTACCTACAAATCTGATTCTGCTGTGGAGCCACAACAGGGCATTAAAAGAGCCGCATGTTGCCGATCCATGGTCTATGAACACTAAACTGCAAAAACAGCTTGTTTTGAATTCCTTGTTTTTTATGAAAGCGCATTCACATACATCCACCTGTTGAGCCTACAGTAGTTTAGCTACGCCCATTCATAATGAAGTCAGCCTGGACTTTTGGCGTTTAGAAGAATGAGCACACTGTGCACACAAATTTTGAATTGTAGATTTGAAAAGTTTTTAATGTTAGGAAGCAGATCTGCTATCAGCAGAGAATCCCCCCCCACAGATAGCACAGCAGAAGAGCACAGTCACTATTTGGCAGATACTTTTGTTCTTGTGATCCAATCATAGCTAAGATAAGATCTGCACTGTCTTTCCAAAGACTTGAAGAAAGTGTCACAGCAGTAAACTGATACAGAAGTAAGCTCTCTTAGGTTACATTTACACAGCAGGTAAAAGTGGCCCAAATCTGATTTTCTCACCAAATCTGATTTTTTTTGTTTGGCTGTTCCCATTTTGTTTTAAATGTGACCTGTATGCGACATCAGTCTGAACAGATCAGCTCCAAACTGACCCGTATGCACAAAAGAACAGTGCTTCACGTGGCTCGTCCAGAGGTAAACAGTCATGACGGCCAGTGAACGCCAGTCGCTCCCACAGCTTTCAGTTTCTTCTTCGCCAGCATCACAGGAGCGAGTATAAAGTTCCAGTGGTTGACAGCTGGACTCATCACCCACAGTGTGTTTGAGTTTGCCGTAAAAAGGGCGCGTTATTTTTCTTTGGTTCGTGTCCTCGGATTCTTTAAATTTTATTTTGACGCTGCAGCCTCGGTCTCCTCTGGCCGCGTTCGGCCGTTTCGTTTGAAACCTCTCCGTACACGGAGCGGTTACGATATGTCTCTTCTAATTTTTTAGTACAGAAACATCAGCCTAAATGTTTGAGTCTCAGCCGTGCGAAATAATGACGAATGTCGAGTTGGATTGACGTAAAAATCACATGAATTCCGATCTGGCTGTTCAGAGTTGCATTGCCGCGTATCGGATACGTATCGGATTTCAGTACCACATATGAAAGCGTCTCAAATCGGAAATGAAAATGTCAGATTCGGTGTGTTTATCTGTTCACACTGACACACAGACACACATCTGTGTCCCATATGAAGAAAAAGGATTTGGGCCACTTTTACCTGCTGTGTAAACGTAGCCTTATTCTTGGTTGCTGCTTCATGAAATTGTACAGTTTAACTATCTAACTTGCTTCAATAACAGTCACTTGCTAAATCAGCGTAATGGAAAAGTTAGCTTTGTTAATGTTAGCGAACAGTTAATGTCGTCCAAACTAAGTGGTAAAGTTGGTTTCATGTTTGCATATTCAGATTTCTTTCATCAGAAGCTTCCAAACAGATTATGTTTAAAGGGTAAAATGTAATATACAAGAAAAACGTACAGTACGGGCCCTTTGTGCCTCACTGCTCCAGTGTGGTGGTGGCTGAAATAGCTTGCTTGGGATAGAAAATGTGAGCAGGTTGGTAAAGTGAAAATGTAACAGCCCTTATCACAGTTGCACTTTTCACCAGTAATTGTTATGCAGTTCTTTCAGTATGTGTGGTTCTGCCCACCAGATAAACATACAGATACATCGCTTTTTGTCCACAATGCAAAACGTAGGTTGTGAGTGTTGTGTTCTAGACTATATTTAAACGGTCTGGTTTGACGTAATGACTCTCTGTTGCGTCTACAGGAAGGCACAGGACCTCGAGTCATTTCTGCTTTCGTGGAAATTATATTTGACAACTCTGACAACAGGCTTCCGGTAAAACCCCTTTCTAATACTGTTGATTGTATGACGTGTAGAAACGAGTGATAATTTTTTTACATGCAGTTGTTTTTATTGCCTTGTGCAATTCATATTATTGTGGAGCTTACATACTTGCAAATGTGTATTGAAAATGTAGTGATGCGCAGTTTTTATTAGTTTTATCAGGTTATTATTAGGTTATTGCTTATGCAATATTACAAATTAGACAAAAATGCAGCTAAAAAGAGTTTAAAAGAGGCTTGTCTTGTTTTGACAAGAAACCACACATTGTACAAATCAGTTATTAAAACTGCAACAGTTTGTGTAATTCATATTGTAGCGAGGCAGTATTAAGCTCTTTGTCAGATAATCATAAGTTTATGTTAAAAGGTCTGGTCGAATAGGTGTCTCGCACAGATAACAGATTGTTTTAAATTGTGCCCCTCATCAGATTGACAAGGAGGAGGTGTCACTGCGTCGTGTCATTGGGGCGAAAAAGGACCAGTACTTCCTTGACAAGAAAATGGTGACGTAAGTAAATAAATATACGTATGTATTGTTGTTGTCAGAAGAAAACCTTTTATCTCAAAAATGGTAACTTTACAGTAGAAGGAAAAACCTACTTTACTTTTTAATGTAAGTCAGTGGAACCAGAATTTTGGGCCGTTTCTTTGGGTCCATTCATCCCGAAATTTACACGCAGTATAAAGAACAACATGTATGTATGTATGTCTGTGTGTGTGTGTGTGTGTGTGTGTGTATATGTATATATATATATATATATACACACACACACACACATGTGTATATATATTTAAACCAGAGCCTGTTTTTTTTTGAGAGAATTCCGGTGGGTAATAGCAGATGGTGGAGCTTTAACTGTTGTTGTGTATGTTTCAGTAAGAACGATGTGATGAACTTGCTGGAGAGTGCAGGTTTCTCCCGCAGTAACCCGTACTACATCGTAAAGCAGGGAAAGGTAAGAGAACGCCTCACAGAAATCTGTCCTTTTGTTTTAACTACAGTTTGGTTTTTGTTTGTATTTTTTAATCACAGTTTGCTATTTTAGCTGATGAGAATTTGCATAAACGTGTTTGTTTTTTTGTTGTTGTTTTTTTTTCTCTGTATGTATTTATTTATTTATTTATTAATTTTTTTGGTTAGCTAACCTTTTCTGTGGACTGTTTTTATTTATCTCTTAGTTTGCCAAATGAACTTTGGTCCTCCAGTATGATATTTCTCATTATGGTTGATTACAGACTTAGTTGTATTATTTTTTTTTCACTCAAATGTTTTTTTGAGTGTTGATGTAGTTTTGTGTCGCTGTGTGTGCAGATCAACCAGATGGCCACGGCTCCTGACTCACAGCGTCTGAAGCTCCTGAGGGAGGTTGCAGGCACCAGAGTGTATGATGAGCGGAAGGAGGAGAGTATCTCCCTGATGAAGGAGACAGGTCATTTTTCCAAACAGACTCGCTCTTCATTTCATTCATGAAAAATATACATAGTACTGTCTTTGGTTTGATTCCATAGTCTTAACTCGTACGTCGAGTTTGATTTTGCTGTAGGTGTTCTTTACTCCATGTACTTATTGGCAATAAAACTGGCAGAAATAGATTTAAATAGATTTGAGGAGGGATTTACAACCTGCTGCACTGTATAATGCAACAACACTAAGCTACTATAATCAGTTTTTACTTATTCTTTTACTACACTGGAATACCAAATGTAAGGTGGTACGTGTTTATTTTAAATGAAGGCATGGATTGCTTCTTGTCGGGTTCCAGCGTCAAGCTCTCTCAGTTAAAAATGTAGACTTAAAACTGTTTTGTTGAACCATCACATTATAATATATGGTGCATTTCCAGATTGATTCCTATGTACGATGCATTGCACTTGTTAGTGCAGGCGTGTCAAACTGGGGGGACTTTCCAGTCCAAAGTTCTGTGGCGGTCAGCGTTTACTTTCATCTAGCGCTCAGAATTTAGTTAGGCTTTGCTAATTAGCTGATGAACTGAGCCAGGTGTGTTTAATGAGGCAACATGCTGAAGTCTGCAGTGTTGTGGTCCACGAGGACTGGAGCCTGACACGTGTGTTAGTGAGTGGTGATTTATCGTCTATACTATTATATTGACAAACGTAATAGACCGTCCATGTTATGATGTTCATAAAAAACCAATCACTTATTTAATTTTATTTTACATGCTTTGGTGAAAATTCATTAAAATTGAGTTAAAATCTGTTAAAATTAATACGTTTCTTTTCTGGAGATGATCTGTTTATGCATCCGCAACGTCAAGCTTGTAAGACATTGTTTTAGCAGCATTAAGGAAGCGTGGGTTCATTAACTTTATCAATGAAGACATTAATATCGTGTGGTACTTTTTATTTTGGGATATATTTAGAAAGTATCATGATACTGAATTATGTCAGTGTTGTCCAGAGCTATCTGATGTGGAATGGAAGAGTTTTGATTATGTAGTTTCTTTTCCCATCTCTGAATTCACTACAGCATCCTTTTATCTTCTGGATAGTTGAATTTTGAAGAAAAGGCACGTCCTTAATGTTACTTAATTACCCCTAACCCTTGTTCTAATTACTTTAGATTACGTGTTTATTTAGGTGTGTAATTCAGTGCTGAAATGTTTTATGTTTTGAACGAGTTGCATGTGTAAGGCTCTTTAGGCTGACATGAGAAAAAGGCATGAGTTGCTTAGTTATCTAATTTCTACATGTGTTGTTTTGTTTGTTTACAGAGGGGAAGAGGGAGAAGATTAACGAACTGCTGAAGTACATAGAAGAGCGACTTCACACGCTAGAAGATGAGAAAGAGGAGCTGGCACAGTACCAGAAATGGGACAAGATGAGGAGAGCACTGGAGTACACCATCTACAATCAGGAGCTCAACGAGACTCGCGCCAAACTTGATGAGGTACGCACACACGCGTAAACACACTCCTAAGGCTGTTACACACTGAATGTGGTAGATGAACATGAAAGTGTGAAATATTCTGAAGCGACTTTTTTGCTTTAAAGCTATGCACACTGGACGCAACACTTTTTTTTTTCGAATTCCGATGTGTTGTTTGCACCACCCAAAAAGTTGGCAGAGTGTGCTTAACAGAGAAAGATATGATTTGCTCCTCCAAGTGGTGTGATTGGGTAGTCTACTTTAGACAGAGTTACAACACTTTATTCAGGTTCTAACACTTTTTTGAGCGCTATCGCACATAGCATGGATGGCTGGCTGGATGGCTGGCTGGATGGCTGGCTGGCTGGATGGATGGAGATTTAGCAGTCACAGGACAGTAATAATAAGGGTGAAACAATATAAAAAGAAGAATAAATACAAAAATCCTATCTACAGTCATATATACAAAAATCTCGAATAAGATCTATAACCTCAGATGAAAAAGGCAGTGAAATAACAGCATATAATGACAATACTGAATAAATATGTGCATATATTGGTACTGAAATAGCCCAGTTTGTTTAGTCAGCTTGGTGGTTTCTCTGGAAAACACAGAGACAGCTGTGATTGTTGCAGTGAGTTCATGTTGTGAGCAGCAGAGGCTTAATAAAATAGAATAATATCGCCTTTTTGCGTTCTACGAATTCGCATTTATAATGCGAGATGTGATCAGTTATACACAGGCTGCACTTTTTACTGACATTTAAATGAGCTACGCCAGGAAATTGTGTTAAGGCCAAATTGAAATTTGATTCCACAAACAAGTGACAAACTTACACACTTGAGTGTTTTTCTTTTCTCACACTATGTAGATGCAGCAGAACGTCACAAATGTCAAATTACAATGTGTACATGACAAAATTATTACTGTTTTTAACTACTGACTTGTTTTCTGCAGCTGTCCAGTAAGAGAGAGACGTGTGGGGACAAATCCAGGCAGCTACGTGATGCCCAGCAGGACGCCAGAGACAAAGTCGAGGTAAAGACCGTCACTAGCATCATTAACGTAACTAAAAGGAATACTTTATCTAAAAATGCTAGTGTGGCTGTCAGTCAATGGTGAGAGGTTAGTGGAATCACGTGCATTAATGGCAGCTGGCTCCTATTGTCATTATGCTTTTGCCTGAAGTATTTAAGAGGGATCACTGAGTAGTAGTTTACAAGTTTGAAAGAGGTTGTGTTATGTAACCACTTGCTTGCTCTCTCTGTAGGAGACGGAACGTGTTGTGCGGGAGCTGAAGGCTCGTATCTCGGCGATGAAGGAGGAGAAGGAGCAGCTGAGTGCTGAGCGGCAGGAGCAGATCAAACAGAGAACTAAACTGGAGCTCAAAGCCAAAGACCTGCAGGACGAACTGGCAGGCAACAGCGAACAGAGGGTCAGCGCACACACGCATGCATATACTCACGCCGTGCACCTGCATATACAAATTCAAGAATCTTATCAAAGTTTCATTTAAAAAAAAAAAAATAAATGCCCCTAATGTTGGAAAGCTGGAGTGGCTTTGCATGACACATGATGCACCAACATGCAGCAAAGTTCTGATGGTTTTTAGGCCTCTGTGATTTTCACATCTCAGACAGTCCAGATTAGTTTCTGTGGAAATTTTGATGAATTATTGCATCCAACAAAGATAAAAGTGTTTGTTAAAATAATGCAAACTAATTTGTCAAAATCAGCGGTTCACTAATGTGTTTTAATATATTACAAGGCATATCACAGTCACAACATGTAGCAGTGTATCTTCAGTGTGCTGTTTTGTCCATGTCATGCAGCACATGCTGTCTGCTGGTTTTAGAATGCAAATGCATAAAGAAAATGAAGCAGCACTTCTTCGGAAATCGTTACACGGGTCACTGAGACTTGAGAGGTCTTCAGCAGCCAATAGGATCGGTCTTAAAGTGTGTGCTAGCCACATTTTCCCTCCCAAAAGCATTATTTGCAACAGCCCATCAGTCTAGGGGTCAGAAATAGACTGTCTGTTTATTTCTAAATGTCTGTTTATTTATACTGATGTGAAGTCCTTATTTGAAATTAAACTCCCCCTGTTCAGTGATGAGTCATCAGCACTGACCATCAAACAGAAATCTTGTTATTGTAGACCAGCAGACTTGCAGCACTGCATAAAGAGCCTGTGTTCGAAAGCGTATGTAAATATCGTCATCTGTCATCTTTTAAACACCTAAGCTGAAAATGGCAGCTGCCGTCTACACTGTCAATTTTTGTCAGCTGTGAATTAATGAATTGGAAGATCTTTTTACATTAACTAATCTTACACGTTTTACATGTGCTGTCCACAGTGTGGTCTGTAAGTGTTGTCATCACCGTCTAAGTAGTTATGGACTATTAATGTTGTTTTACATATCATATGTTTTATCATATATAGTCGATGCACATTAGCTGTCGCATAAAACTCAAAATCTGCAGGGTGTGTTGGCAGGAAGGACCGAACAGAGGGTCCGCAGTGTCCCCGCCTGCGTCACAGACTACACACACTGCACTGGGCTGCGGTCCAGAGAGAGGCACACACACACACACACACAAACACACAGCTTGCCTTTATGTGTGAAATACACACACTGGTCAGACCTTCTTTATTCCATCCTGGCTCAGCGCAGGATTAGCTCCACCTGTGTGTGTATATGTGGGTAGGGGGCGTGGAGAGAGTGAAGTGCGTCATTGGCTCTTTTTTCTGCTGAATGTGATTCCAGTTTGGCTCAGAGATCCTCACTCCACTCATGGCACTGTATCAACTGTCATTTCTTCCACAGCACATGCACACGACTGTGTGTTTGATATGATCTTTGTTGCTCTTTAAAAAGTACCACTTTGTCCCATTTTGAAGGAATGAATGAAGTGCTATAAGCACAGCTCTATTTTTTTCCCTTCCTTTCCCTCAGAAACGGCTGCTGAAAGAGAGGCAGAAGCTGTTGGAGAAGATTGAGGAGAAGCAGAAGGAACTGCAGGAGACTGAGCCCAAATTCAACACTGTGAAGGAGAAAGAGGAGAGGGGCATTTCCAGGTGAAGCCTGGTTTCCCTTTAGTGATGTTCAGTAACATCTGATGTCATATATGTATCCTTATTTTTTTATTTTCTACACAGTATATATTCCCTTTTTTTATAGGGCTGGGCGATAAAACGAAAAGTATCGCGATATAACTTTCCTCGATAGAGCTATAAGAAGTGTTCGAAAAATTTTCAATATAATACACCATTCTCACACTTCCACGTTCAGCGAAAGACCTGGTGGCGTTTTCCTCTGTGGAGTTATATATTCCCTGTTTGAGTGGAGCAACCGGTGATCTGTTCTCCTGTAACTAAGTGTGAGTGACCGGATAAGTGGTGTAACTATACTGTCCTACAGTGAACTCACCTCTTTCTGTACATCCTAACAAACTTTAGCAGCGTTAAATCACGTCTGATACTCACAACTGCAGCACTGTTACAGTGCTCAGTCATATTTTAGTGTTAGTGTATTCCCAAGCAACGAAAGTGAGAAAGAAGTGGGTTTACAGCCCTGATTTAAACGAAAGTAAGCTGAGGAAGCCGTGAAGCATTGGAGAGCGGGAGAGCGCTATCCTCCCAGGCTGGCTGTTTTTAGCAGCTGGCTAACTTGAAGCAGCGCTCTGTCACTCCACAACACGGAGAATTGATGATACTGAAGATCAAACAAGACACAAAAGCACCGCTTTCAGTTTAAACGTACCTAAAAGGAGGATTCTGTTTGACTGGTGTGAGATATATTGAGGTTCACCCCTCAAATTAATATGGAGAAACCCAGTCGTCTGCTTGCTGGAGTCTGAATACTGTGATGTGCTCTAAGATGGATGTGGTAGGAGTGATGGCAGTGAGGCGGTGTGATCCATCACTGATGTACTGAGCCAGCTAATGTTTGCTGTTCATACTAAATTGACGTTGAGAAACTAAAGAGAACAACCAGACTCTTTCTCCCACTGTCCCAAGGCAGATTTGTCAAATGTTCCACTGTTTGCCGAGTGTTTGTCGTGTTCTGACCATGAAGGATAGTTTAAAACAGCAAATAACCACTCAGGAGCAAAAATCAGCCTTCAAACTTGAAAGAAATAATGATTTGACATGTATCGCGATATGTATCGATATCGAACAGTATGAATTTTATCGTGATAACATTTTTGGCCATATCGCCCAGCTCTACCTTTTTCTAATAAACTAATGCAAATCTCTGAATGTGGATTCTTTATATGGTTGCCAAGTCAGTATAGAGCCCCTCCATGTAGCAGAAGGTCAGTTATAAAACCTCTGCGGTAAAAACAGCAGCTGTTCTTTTGTGCAGACACAAAAGATGTGTCTAAATACAAATGTACCGCACTGAGGACTGAATGAATGTTAATGCTGCTGCTAATGAATGGAGGCTGCAAGGCACCGATTTAGCGTGATGCATTGAAATCAGCTAACTGCTTCCCATTATCTTTTTATCATTATGCTGTCTGATCCCTCTGCCTTTGTGCTGCTCACCCCCCAGATTGGCCCAGGCCACTCAGGAGCGCACAGACCTGTACGCTAAGCAGGGCCGTGGCAGTCAGTTCACCTCCAAAGAGGAGAGGGACAAGTGGATCAAGAAGGAGCTGAAGTCCCTCGACCAGGCCATCAACGACAAGAAACGGCAGATTGCCGCTATCCACAAAGACCTGGAGGATACCGAGGCCAACAAGGAGAAGAACCTGGAGCAGTACAATGTAGGAATCAAGAACAATATGTGTTTCTTTTTCTCTTTTTAAAATATATCAAACAAAATTGTCCTTTTTTTAAGTAAGAGTTTGATGTAGTATGTAAACATTATAGTTTCAAAACCTTCCATTCAGTCCATAAAATCCATTTGTGTAGGTTAGACTCCAAATGTAACCTTTTTCAATTGATAGCATGAAACAATGCATTTACTTATCTTTGACCATTCAGCCTACAGCAGTTTAGCTCCACCCATTTATGCTGAAGTTATAATCCGTTATCTTGGAGTGCTTTTTGAATAAGGCAGGCAATCCAAGGTAATTCACAAATCAGTCTTAAAGACACAGAAACAAAAATAGCCTGACGTAAAAATGAATTAGGCAGTTTTTAACCATACAAGGTAACGATTACACAGCAGGTAAAAGTGGCCCAAATCTGATTTTCTCACCAAATCAGATTTTCTCGTTTGGCTGTTCACAGTATGTTTTAAATGTGACCTGTATGCGACATCAGTCTGAACAGATCAGCTCCTAAACTGACCCACATAAGCAGAAGAACAGTGCTTCATGTGGCTCGTCCAGAGGCAGTCATGACGGCCAGCGAACGCCAGTCGCACCTGGAGCTTTCAGTTTCGCCAGCATCACAGGAGCGAGTATAAAGTTCCAGTGGTTGACAGCTGGACTCTTCACCCACAGTGTGTTTGAGTTTGCCGTAAAAAGGGCGCGTTATTCGGCCACGGTGGTTCGTGTCCTCGGATTCTTTTTCTGACGCTACAGCCTCGGCTCCTCCGGCCGTGTTCGGGCACGGAGCGGTTTGATGAGTCTCTTCTAATTTTTTGGTACAGAAACATCAGCCTAAATGTTTGAGTCTCAGCAGTGCGAAATTATGACGTATGTCAAGTTGGACTGACGTAAAAGTCACATGAATTCCGATCTGGCTGTTCAGAGTCGCATTGCCACAGATCGGATACGTATCGGATTTCAGTACCTCATATGAAAGCGTCTCAAATCGGAATTGAAAATGTCAGATTCGGTGTGTTTATCTGTTCACACAGACACACATCTGTGTCCCATGTGAAGAAAAAGATCAGATTTGGGCCACTTTTACCTGCTGTGTAAATGTAGCCCAAATGTCTCAGGGGAAAAAATGTATGGACCCTTTAATTAGAACCCGCTGGGGTTCTTGTCTCATTTTATGGAGGAGCCCCTAAGGCCATGGCATATTGACCCAACGTTGTGTGAACGGGGAGAACGTTCTAGAACGATGTGAATGGGGAGAACAGTTTAGAGGCTGTGACCGAAATGGATTCGTACCCCCTCATTTATATTGTTCTTTATAGGAGAGAGCTATTTAAATAACAAAACAGAGGAAAAAACATACGACTCAGTAAAAGACAGCGCTTCAGAATTTAATGAAATGTCATGAAGTCGTCATTAAAAATCTTTGCAGAGAGCTTTTAATTTGAAACGACGGATACAGGATGTGACACGTGGCGACACCCGGGCTTTCTATGTCTATGCACCCGACGAGAGGGAGAGAGAAATAAAGTTGGGGTTACACTGAACAACTTGCACCCCGATTTTAGCCGTGATTCTCAGTCTGGCAGAGTCTGTGCTCGCTGGCTCTAGTCTGCAGATTTAGGCTACGTTCACACAGCAGGTAAAAGTGACCCAAAACTGATTTTGTGCATGCGGGTCAGTTTCTCCTAAACTGACCTGCATGCACAAAAGAACAATATTTTATGTGGTTCATCCAGAGCAAACCAATCAGAATAGAGTCAACAGTAACAGCCACTCCTGGAGGTTTCAGTTTCATCTTCGCCAGCATTGTAATAAGAAGTTCCAGTGGTTGACGCCTGGGCTCATCGCCCAGAATGTGTTCGAGCTTGCTGTAAAAAGAGCCTGTTATTCGACCCCGGCTACTTTTGGTTCGCGTCCTCGGTTTCTTTAAACTTTGCTTTTAAATTTTTTTTTGTTGTTGAATCTACAGTCTCGTTCTCCTGTGGTCGCGTTCTGTCATTTCTTTCTGAATCTTTTTGAGCAGGGAGCGGTTTGGAAAAGTGTCTCCTAATTTTGTTCATACAGAAACATTACCCCAAACGTTTATGATGAACAAGTTGGATTGATGTAAGTTGCTTAAATTCCGATCTGGCTGTTCAGACCGAGTCACTTTGCCGCGTATCGGATTTCAGTAGCACATATAAAAGTGTCCCGACTCAGAATTGAAAATGGCAGATTCAGTGTGTTTTTTGCTGTTCACACTGCCACACGGGTAACATGTCTGTGTCACATATGTAGAAAAAGATCAGATTTGGGCCACTTTTACCTGCTGTGCGAACAAAGCCTTTGGGTCCGTCAGGATCGATCGGAATGGACTCCTCCAAAAGCCAGTGAAAAGATGTAAATACAGCAAGTGAAGAAGAAAAATATTGAAAAGTCACTGTCATATGGAGAGCAGTTTTTTTAATAAACGAAGTTTAAGGCGTGACTGCAGTAGAGCTTATGTACATCTAAAACTAAAAACTACTACACACTACATCTTTACATCCATCACCCTCACGTAAATATGCTTATCCGTTGCTTCTTTACTGTGTCGGCGCAAACGGCAAAGAAAACAGCAGCAGTAGGTGCTCCACGTTTGTTTATTTGTGTCGCCTATTAACGGGACAACGTGAGTTCGGTTCGGTTGGGTTCAGTAGTGCATGATCCTCAGTATTTCATTTGCTTAAAAAATCTGCAGAAGCCACTCGGATGTGAGATGCCCAGACTTTTTATAATCGTTAGGACTTTAAAAGTGTGGATCTGCCACTGCTGCGGAAAAAAATCCTAGGTGAATCACTTAAAGACATCGGGGGGACAGCATAACTCAAATGCAGCATTGGGGCCATTTAAATTACTAACTATAAATGTTATCGTTTTATTTATTTTTTTTAAAGTTGATTTTTAGCACGAGTGATAACGACTTATTCTGCATGGTTTCAGTGTAAATAGTATTATACTTGCGAATGTAGACTTACGGATTTTCTCAGTCATGGATTTTCATCTGTAATGTTTAGTTAAAAAAACAGTTGTTTTTTGTTTTGTTTTACTGTAGAAACTGGACCAAGACCTGAACGAGGTAAAAACCCGCGTGGAGGAATTAGATAAGAAGTACTATGAGGTGAAGAACAGGAAGGACGAGCTGCAGAGCGAGAGAAAGTAAGTGCAGCAGCCCCACTTTCCCCACTCCCCACTCCCCCCCCTGCCTTATGACTAACACAGCCAGAGGCTGCCAACGCTGTGTGACTAAAACGCCCAGCGGCAACCGACACCAGGGCCAGCCTTCATATTCCACATATCGATCTGCTTTCTGCGAGCATCAGGCTGTCTATGACTCACCCAAACAGAAATACCGTGTAGGAGATCCACTCGTTTCTGTTTCCAGTATCCCCTATCTCACACACGCACACTGTCTCCATCCCTCTTGATCTTTCTCGCTCCTTCTTGCTGTTATTCACTCGCTCACATATGTCTTACATCCCTAAGCTTCGCGCTCCCCTGTTGATAGTTATTTATAAGTCTCGAGTCATGGGCTCCCTCCGTATGCTGAGGCTTTACTGTGCGCTATAGCATGAAGCCGTGTGTGGAGCCCGAAGCTCGCCTGGATTAATGCCCAGGCATGGTGTCCCTAAGCTGGGCTGATGGGTGTGTCTCTGCCTCTTCACTTGCAGCTACCTGTGGAGAGAGGAGAATGCAGAGCAGCAGGCCCTGGCAGCCAAGAGAGAGGACCTGGAGAAGAAACAACAGCTACTGCGTGCTGCAACCGGAAAGGTCAGACACTCACTTGGTTGCCACCTATATGACCTTGTTTCATACGTTTAATGCCCTCTAGAGCAGTATTACTCTGACCGCCATACAACTGCACAGTTTACGCTAAGTTAAGATAATCCTTTATTAGTCCCACAACGGGGAAATTCTGAGTGTGACAGCAGCAAAGGGTGAGCAAGGCACTCAAGAAAAAGAAAAGGAGTAACAAGAAGAGAATTAACAAGAAAGTAATTAACTTCAAGTACTTACCAAGGTTTTTACTGTTTGTTAATTGTTACTATATAGACAATATATATAATACTAAACATAAAACATAAGATAAATATAAACTCTATCCTTCACAAAGAAATTACCAATATAAAGAGTTATAAATAAATAAGAAGCTGAGATATTTACACTGTAAGGATATTTTGCCTGAAATTCACATGGAGTAAACAGAGTAATATCAAAACAGAAAGAAAATCAATCAACATTTCATAATATTTAATATATAATAATGATCATTCCTCAGTTTTGTGAGTGCTTACCTCCTTAGTTTTAAACATTTTTTTTATTGCAAAGTGAGCTACACATTTTTAATTACTTTTCACAATTATTCCACAAACTTACCCCTTTGACAGATATACATCTATTTTTTATTTTTGTCCTTGATATTGTTTTTTTAAACATACGTGTTCCCCTAAGTCCGTATTTGCTCTCGTCAATTACAGACAGCTTCTGAAAACAGTTTGTCAGTAAACTATTTTGTGCTTTGTACATTATCTGTGCAGTTTGAAGGTCGACTGGATCACTGAATTTTAAAGCATGTAAATAAAGGCGTTTTGTTCATATATTTTAATTCGTTTTATTGTTTAATATTTAGAAAAGTATGTCTTTTCGTAACCATTTAGACCCCAAAAAGAAAAAAAATGATCTAAAATCTAGAAAAAGATGTCAGTTACTTTACAATGGGTGTTAAATTAGGCTAAAAAATTTGTCATTCCAATGTAATCTTCGCTAAAGATTGAACACAACTACTGTCCCACCCCTCCGTATGGTTTCACAGATCACTTCTTTTCTTTGCAAGATTGAAGCAAAATAAGTTGGTAAAAGATATTAAAGTGGCAAACAATGTAATATAATCAAGTAATATAATCAATGTAATATAATCAATTCTGCGAATAATCACTCCTGAACGAAATTTATGTTTTGTCTATGGAAGTTTCACTTGCGATGGCGTTGAACTTGATTATCCATTCAGTAAAGCAGCTAAACTGACTAAGAAAACACATCACTAAACAAATATTTGAAAAGATTTACGTCTTGATCTTAATATCGCTGCTATCAAGAACAAATCCAGCGAGACTGATCTGTTTCCTTGTCGGATATGACAGTACAGCACGTCTGTCTCTGCATCTTTGGGACATCCATCATAAAAAGGGATGTATAACGATTTGTTCACATTTGATTGGAATATTTTGAATAAAAAATCAACTAAAACGAACAAACATGGCTAATTGTGAAATGTAAATATGTGAATATTATTGTTGGTATTAAGGATGAGTATTTGAGTACTTGATTAAAACTCTTGAGTATTTAAAGCCTGTAAAATGCTGTTCAGACCGGCCTGTATTTTTGAGATTTTTTTTTTTAAAGGATGTTGCAAACTGCAGCTATTTGTAATATCAGTATTGTAATTTCCAATGTTGTAATGTTTAACAAACAGTACGTTTTGCAGGCCTAGTGAAGGTCTTTGAGCCCTGCTGTTTCTGATGTCTCTTCCTGTCTGCTGCTGTGGCATGACAAATGCTTGTCCATAATCCATTATAATTTAAATGATGGCTAAAATGTAATTTAAAAAATGTTTCAAGAAATTTGTCATACAAATCGACATCATCTTACTTGCAGTGAGTCAGTATACAGTCATAGACATCCCATGCTGAAAATCCAAGACAAAAGTGCTCCACAAATAGAAAAAACAGCACTGCTAGAGTTTTAACAGGGTTTGTTTGCTCATAGGCCATCCTGAATGGCATCGACAGCATTAATAAAGTGTTGGAGCACTTCCGCCGGAAAGGCATCAATCAGCACGTCATCAACGGTTACCATGGCATCGTCATGAACAACTTTGAGTGCGAACCTGCCTTCTACACCTGCGTGGAGGTGACTGCTGGAACCAGGTGAGATGCACAGCTCGTATATTCAGTAGTAGGCGTAGATTTAAGTTTAACAGAATTTTTTTCACTTCTCAGTAACGGTGTGATTATTCCCTAGACTGGGCTTGTACATAGAAGCACTGTCAAGTTGTCATGACTGGCTAAACGTGTAAATGCATAAAAGACTGAACATTTCTTAGGCTACGTTCACATTACCAGGTTAAAGTGGCACAAATTTTTCTGCCCTAATGTGACTCAGATCTAGAGCTGGGCGATAAACAAAATTCATATCGTTCGATATCGATACATATTGCGATAAATGTCAAATCATGATTTCTTTCACGTTTGAAGGCTGATTCTGCTCCTGGGTGGTTAATTGTGGTTTTAAACTATCACTAATGGTCCGATCATGACAAACACCCGGCAAACAGTGGAACATTTCACTAATCTGTCATGGAAGAGTGGGAGAAAGTTTCTGAGCTGTTTTTATCAGCTTGAAAAGCACAGCTGCAATTTTTGTAACAGTCATAATTTAAGAGAGAAAACAGATTATTTTTAGCTGTCTGGTGTCGAGCGCTCGGCTACTCCGCTACAAACGCTAAACAAGTGGCCAACAACAGAGCTAAACTCTTTAGTTTCTCAACAACGTCAGCTCGGTTCAGTAGGTCACTGTCACTCCTACCACATCCATGTCAGAGCATGTCACAGTATTCAGACACCAGCTAGACGACTGGGTTTCTCTATGCTATCGCAGTAGTTTAAGGGGTGAACCGCAAAATATCTGACGCTCGCTGTGTAAAAGCATTATCTGCAGTGTGAATCTCTCACACCAGACAAACAGAGTCCTCCTTTTAGGCATGTTTAAACTGAAAGCGGTGCTTTTGTGTCTTGTTTGATCTACAGTATCATCAATTCACTGTGTTATGCCGGAGCGCCAGAGCGCTGCTTCAAGTTAGCCAGCAGCTAAAAACAGCGAGCCTAGAAAGACAGCGCTCTCCCGCTCTCCAGTGCCTCACAGCTTCCTCAGTTTACTTTCGAACATGAACCCACTTCTTTCTTTCACTTTCGTTGCTCGAGAATGCACTAATACTAAAATATGACGGTTTGGCGCTGCAGACGTGATTTAACACCGCTAAAGTTGTTAGGATGTTAGTAAAGAGGTGAGTTCACTGTAGGACAGTACAGTTACGTCACTGATCTCGTCACTCAGACTCGGTCACAGGAGAACAGATCGCAGATAACATCCACTCAGACAGGGAATGTATAACTCCGCGTTTCAGCCGTTGCTAAAGTATATTTGGCGACCCTTTTTTTACTCGTGGCCTCCTCCCTCTCTAATCAAGTCGAAAAATTCGGAAGTGTGCCCTCTCCTGGTGACAGCAGAGTAGTGTCGCTTTCCTTTTAGTAGAAAACGCCACCAGGGCTTTCGCTAAAACGTGGAAGTGTGAGAATGGTGTATTATATCGAACATTTATCGAACCTGTCTTATCGCTCTAATGAGGAAAAGTTATACCGCAATACGTTATCGTTTTATCGCCCAGCCCTACTCAGATCTGATGTTTTCAGAGCTGTGTGGACACGCAAATCTGATCTTTTCTAATCCAACCTGAGCCACTTTCATTTGTGGTCCTAGATCGGATACATATCTGATTTGTGGCCGTGTGACCTTAATGTGATGCTCAGATCAGAAATCATGTTTTTTTCCACTGCGTGTGACCATCATTCAGCGTTACCATGGCAGCAACACCCAACACAAGTTAAAGCCTGTAAACGGTGGAAAAGCAGCTCATCTCACCTTTTTCTCCTTCGTCTCGCTCTAATAATGAAGCTGAGAGCTGATCAGAGTTAATGATCTTCTCAGCGAAGCTCGTTCTGCTCGTTAGTTTGTGCTGATGATGAACGTGATTCATTCACGTGACGTTACTGAGTAGGATGAGCTCATGAGGGTCATTTCAGGACGCCGGTTCATCACATTAATGACAGATTTGAGTCACTTAGCTAAACGAGGGTGAACCATCACGTCAGAGAGATCGGATTTGAGCAAAAAATCGGATTTGAGCGACGAGGCTTGTAATGTGAATGTTGCTTTAGAAAAATGTAACGAAACAGGGAGAGCAAGTGCTTTGCAATTTTTTGTCTGAAATGAGGCTTTTCGGATCCCTCTGTTTCTTGTTAAGAGTTTTTGATGTTTCCACCATATCAGTGCATGCTAACTGTGTGTGTGTGTGTGTGTGTGTGTGTGTGTGTGTGTGTGTGTGTGTGTGTGTGTGTGTGTGTCAGACTGTTTTACCACATCGTAGAAACTGATGAGGTGAGCACTAAAATTCTGATGGAGTTCAATAAGATGAACCTGCCTGGTGAAGTCACCTTCCTGCCCCTCAGCAAAGCTAGACGTCCGGGACACTGCATACCCCGAGACCAACGTAAGCATGCAGTGTGTGTGAATGTGTGAATGCATGTTGAGTGCTTGTAAAGAAAAGCTGCCTTTTTATTTAAATGTTAAGGTTTGGTTTCTCAGACAGGAGTTAAGCTCAGTCCTGGACTATTATAGAAAAATCATTTCAATTCAATTCATTTAGAATGATCTATAATCCAGGACTAGGCTCAAATTCCTGTCTGGGAAACCTGTTGTAAAACATGAGGCATGCTTTGTAATATCCATAACATACAGGTTAGGTAAAGCTATATTTGTACAGGTTTACATTAGTTCTACATTTGTCTTGACTGATATTTCACATTGTTGTGATGATGTACTAATTAAAAGCATACTTTGGATGTTTAGTCAAGCTTTGCTGCTGATAATTATGACTATTTAAACTTTAGACCTGCCCTTCAAAGAAGACATGGTGTTTCTTTTCACAGCAGTGAAGGTGTACCTGCTCAATTAAGTATGTTATTGTGCATACATTATGTTAATATATGTTAACAAATAAAAATTGTTATTTATTTATTTTTTTAGGATGCCATCCCGATGATCAGCAAACTGCGATACAGTCCAAACTTCGATAAAGCTTTCAAGCATGTGTTCGGGAAGACCCTTATCTGCCGAAGTATGGAGGTTTCCACCCAGCTAGCCCGAGCCTTCACCATGGACTGCATCACTCTGGAGGGTGCGGGATCCATGTCATTAAATCAGCACAGCTAATTTAGTTATTATGTTCCGTTGTAGGATTCATGCTTAAAATGACCAGATTGCTGTCGTTATTGTGCACCACTGCCCTGCATTTGTAACTGTAGCTCTTCCAGGTGACCTTTAAGAAGCTGTGTCTTTGGGCAGTCATGATATTTGTGTGTATGATGTTCTTGTGTACAGAAAAATTGAGCTTTAACTCTGTGATATATGTTTGACCATTGCTGTTTCCCTTTGTTGCAGTGTCACTGTATCAGTGATTATATCTAATGCAGTTTTCTGTGTCATAAGTAATAATATGTCTGTGTTTGTGTAGGTGACCAGGTGAGTCATCGCGGCGCTCTGACTGGCGGCTATTATGACACACGGAAGTCTCGCTTGGAGCTTCAGAAGGACATGCGGAAAGCTGAGGAGGAGCTCGCAGAGCTGGAGGCCAAACTTAACGAGAACCTGCGCAGAAACATCGAACATATCCTTCCCATAATGCACAGCGGCAGGGCTTCCCAGTAATGCTGTAGTGTCGGCGCTAAACCCTTGGAGCTCGCTTTTCCCGAATAATTATTTGAGCCGAAACCATGCGTTCTCCTGTTATTAAGAGACGGCAGTAAAAAAAGTGACTTTTTGACTAGGAACAGAATTAATTGTGGCATTTTTTTGCGTTTAGTGTAGGATTTACATTTATTTGCTGAGTTTAACATTTTGGGGGGGAAAAAAACTTGCTTAACTTCTGCACAGGTCACTTTTGTGTTTGTTCCCCCCCAGTATGTTAAATTCTGCAAATAAACAGTAATTGTGCGCTAAAATTCGTGTTCTCTGCAGAGGATGTGGCTTAGAAAATCAACAATAAATGTCAGTTGACCAAGAGTGGCCAAAGTTTAGCGTACAACTGTATACACATTTGTGAAATGTAGAAATTGGCACTAAATCCACCTGGATTAGCATTACAGAGAATTTTTGTGAAGGGTTACAGATGCAGTAAAATGAATGAAGCATGGCTATTTTAATGCAGTAACCAAGTAAACGTACTACTCCTCCAATAAGTCCAATAAATACAACAAATATCAGTTTGAGAGTTGGTTCAAATATAAACATCTGTCTGATGACATTTTTTCATTAGTATTTATTTACTGATACAGAAATTATTTCGATATCATTGTGCTTCTCAGTTTTTTCCCTCCTCAGTTATAAGTGGCTATTAAAGGGATGCCTTTTCATTTTTGCTCAGGGAGGGTGTAACTATTTCAACAGGTATTGAAAAATCAAATTTGAAACAGCTTTTCCAAATGTAAAACCCCTCAGTCTCATCCGAGGGTCTCTCATTCATCATCTTTAATGGAGACTACTGTCAACAAGGCATCTGGGTACATCTTATAAGGGTAAAGTGGGCCATGAAGAAGGGTGGATTATGTTATGTACAACATATAAAATACTGGAAAGGGAATCAAATCTAGACTGCTGAACATATCAAACTTGAACTTATGTGCATTATTATGCCTTTAGTGTGCATGTTTGTGGTCTCAGTGCAGTGGTGTAAACATTAACACGCAAACATTAACGTATGTACGCAACGGACATATTCAGACACTTCTGAATATAGTAGTGAGATACCACTGCATGTGTCGGACCAAATTCTGAAATACATTTGGCAAATTCCTCCCAATCTGAAAGTAGATCAGGAGGTGAAACATCTCTGTGCCAGCCGTCCCCTCAAGACGGCCCCAGAATCTGCACACTAGGAGCAGCACAGACTGGTTGTGAATTGTGGCTGTAGTAGTTGTAGAGCACGTAATATATAACTGTACACAGCTAATTCAGCAGGTCTTCTAATAGCAAGTGTCTCCTGAGTTAAATCTGGCGTGTCTTTCTTAGGGAGCTTTCTGCTAAATACAGAGTGGCCAGGGTGCTGTTTTTGGCTGTTCCTGTTTGGGCCTGGGAGGCAGTGTGATCTGTAATGCTGCGTTTACATGTTGGCGTTCAACAAAAACACTGTTCCCTGCCTCGTTGGTACATGACCAGTGGCGCGGCATGCAGCTGCACAAACGTTGCCACAGTGGCTGTGTTTACATGCAAAGACTTTTGCCCATCCGATTGAATACATTCCGATTACAGATTAAGACTGAGGTGTTTATTCTCACTCTACTCAACAATCTGATGGAAAATCTTCGTTTACATGCTCACCACAAGTGTTTTGATCCAAAATGACACGCATGCGTGGAGAACCGCTTAGAGTAAATGTTACCATGACAGCAAGCATCACGTGAGTCCAGTCGGGTGAGATGAGTTTTCAGTGAGCTGCGCTTGTGTTTTTAATTGATGATTTAAATGATGTGAGACTCAGGAAAACGTCCTTCACATGTCCTTATTAAAGAAGGCCGAGAGGAAGACGTCGTGTTCTGAGACACATAAGCTGGACGTCCGTCCCACCGCCGTCTTTTAAAGATCAGAGCATAAACTTCGTCTCCTCTGCAGACCAGTTTCTGCTCCGCCATGTTGAACGTTATAAACTTTCACACTACGAACATGATCAGAACAGACTTAAACTTTCCGATAGGGAATGTAATCAGATACAGGCGTTTACACGGATATTATTCTTCTATTTAATGGATCATTTACAGGATTACCCACCTCGATCAATCAGATAGAAATTGTATTCTGAATGGCCTCCATCGGACTAGTCTATTCCGACTGAGGAGTTTACATGGACGTGTTCTATTCCAATTGAGCTATTAGTCGGATTATTAACAGATTATTAGGCTGCATGTAAATGTGGCTACTGACAGCATTGTTAGCGAAAATGGATGATTATGGGATGAGACTTGAGCAGGGGCGATTACTTTTATGTAAGATGGAGAACAGCAGGAGGCTGCTCTGTGCTCTTCTTCTTCTTTTTTTCCTCCCCCCTTGTCTATAATACTGTGTACACCTGGATCAACAAAGAGATGTTTAGAGTCTGTGGCTCCCAAAAAAAACTTCCAGTTCCCAAAGGCAGGAAAGTTGACGGAAAGTTCGGCTGACTGCTGCGGTACGCTGCCGCTGCCGCTGCCGCTGGTGTAATTTTGCATTGCTGCTACATTGAAAACAACAGAGTATTCGGTTTGCTGTCGACTGCCGACTGCCTACTGCCTGCCACCAACACACAGACTCATCGTAAGACTGCTCACTTCTAACGTCTGTGTTCTCGCGCTTGGATTGAATAGGAAGAGGTTTCAGGATTACGAGCACTCTTGCTTCATTCATGTGTCACTGTGCTAGGCTGTGTCAAGGTTAATGGGTAGGCGGAAGTGAAGTAAGCTGTGTGTGTGTGTGTGTGTGTGTGTGTGTGTGTGTGTGTGTGTGTTCTAATCTGTGTGTGTGTTCTTAAACAGAGTCTCTGAGGCCCAAAGCTGATTAACACAACACAGAACTGGAGAGGGCAGCTTCATGACTCACCCAGTCGTTCTGTTATTAACGTACGCGTGTTGTGTGTGTGTGTGTGTGTGTGTGTGTGTGTGTGTGTGTGTGTGTGTGTGTGGAACGTTGGGGATGAAGTGAAAGGACAGGAAGTGTGAGTGTGATCAGTGTGAGGATGAGGAGGATCTGGAGGGGTGATGCAATGGCAAGAGTTAGTGTGATGCAGTGCTTTGTAAAGGAGGAGTGTGTGTGTGTGTTGGGTGGATTGTGTGGTCACTGTGTATTCATGCCCCCGAAATAAAACGCGGGTGTGCAATAATTGTGCATGTGCGTATCCTGGAACTGAAGTGGGCTGTGTGTGTGAGTCAGGGTGGGACAGTGGCAGTTTCTGTCCTCAATGATTGAAATTCAGCAACATTTTATACAAAATTATCAGAATACTAAATAAGAATTTCCTTTCCAGTTAATTTTGATATTTGAGTGTCCATAAAAGTTCATAAACAGTTTTTTTTTTTGCCAAAAAAACAGACAGGCTTTGGCCAAAAATGAGAGAGGGCTGTAGGCTTACTTTCTTATAAAAACATAGCAGCATGCAAAAGAACGTATTTTTTATTACTGATAAACGGCTGAGGGGCATCGGTCAGTTTTCATTTTGGATGACTAACTGCCGCTGCATCTTCAGATGAGCTACCAGCTGTAAAACGTGTCACACTGAATGCTGATGAGGACTTGTTGGCTACTCTAAGATATTTTCTTCTCAGTGAAAGACGTTCAACATAGAAATTTCAGAGGAATGTATTTTTACTCTTTCTGGATCCGTCTGCTTGCCTGGTTCGCGGTACAGCAACACTCTGTCTGCCCTTTCAGCCACATCCTTAACGCGTCCTTGGCAACATGTTTGTGTTGAGACAGTCATGTTTTGAAGTTGTGAAGTATAACATTTTCTTTGTCCTCAGTTTATCAGTTTAGAGGTTCAGTTTCTGTCTTTCTATTTTGTTAGAAAATAAAGAACAGAATGGGTGGCAGAGATTTTGCTCTTGAATTGTCAGGTTTCATTTGTCAGTTTTTCCTGTAACAGTTGTGGTTGTAAAGCGTTCCCTCTTTTTTTTTCACAGATGAGTTCCTTCGTGCTGTCAGGTCAAAATCAGAAGGAAACATGAAGTGATTTTAAAAATGTCTGGTTTATTAGTGCGAGTGACATTTATTCACACTGAGTTATTTTTGGTGCATTTTTTGGCCTTGTGCTTGTGTTTTAAAGGGCGAAGAATGTTGAATGAGGAGCCATTTTTGCCCTTTGCCCCTCATTATTTCTGACACTGGTGTATGCATGATGCAGGGGGTTAAAGGTGAAAGCCTCGGCCGGCGTTTGTATATGTGTGATGCGTGTGCACCAGCTTTAAGATTGTAGGCTGTGTGATAGAGTGGGCGGAACAGCTGATGACATAGTGGCACTCCTGGGCTGAAGCGGTGAGTCAGACACAGGAGTGTGTTTTTTAAAAAAAATCCTTCATTCTCCAGCCTTCACTCTCGATTGCCCCCTCCTTTCTCTCTCTCCAGGGGCTTTGTCTGCACTATTCTTAGAGATCCATTCAGAATCCACACAATGACATAACCCTGCAGTCTGCTCTTTCACTCCCAACAGAAGAATGAAGCAAAGTTGTGCAAAGAAACAGTGGGGCTAAATGTGGAGTCGCTGAAGTTTCTGGAAGAAACTTTGACAGCTTTGCTTGTTAATGGTACTTAATGAATCTTTTTTAAGAACTATTATTTATAGACTGTCTTTGATGGATTTTTGTTAAGGCAGGAGTCTGGTGTGTGTAGGTGTGTAGTAAGGCTGCAAATATGGACAGAATATAGTATTGTGATAATATCGCCGCATATTGCAGTTGTAATATACAGGGAGATTCACTCGAAAGAGGCCCCGAATATTCTGTAATAACTCTCGCTAGGACGAAGCAATCTGAACGAAACAACGTGCAATGTGCTCCTCAGTATATGGAGCTTCGAACAAGCCAGGATGCCCCTGTGTCGGAGCGATGAGGTAGGCGCCAGACAGCCGCCGCAACGTTTAACCTCCATTTGCAACTTCTGGGTGCGTACCCCCCGTACCCCTTCATGTGTCTGACAGATCACTTCCAGCATCGCATGTAATGCAGTCAGTTACACATACGTCAAGGGATGTAGCGAATTGGACAGTTGGTAATATCACATTGTTAAAGATTGGCCTGCATTAGTTTCACCAAACTTTTGAGTTATTTGAATACCTTGATTCATGTGAATTCCCAGAAAACCATTTGGTCATAGCAAAACTGATTGGTTAGAGGCGTCGATATTGTAGCCTTCTGTGATGACAGTATTGCACATGCCAAGATTGCATTATAGATTAACAAATACTATATTGTGCAACCCCAGTATGTAGGTTTATACATGTGGATGTGTGTGTGTGTGTTTGTGTGTGTTCATGGTAATCTTCCTTAATGTCTCTATACGTATTAATAACGAGATTGATCAGCTGATGAACCAAATGCAGCAGATTGAGACACAACAGAGGAAGTTTAAGGCCTCCAGAGACAGCATTCTCTCTGAAATGAAGATGCTCAAGGAAAAGAGGCAGCAGTCTGAGAAAACATTCATGCCAAAGGTATAGCATTCACCACGCACGATGACAAAACTCTTAAAGAAAGTGCCAAATACTGTTAACAGAGAACCTTTTTGTCAAAGGTAACACTTACTCGATAGTCTTATTCATGTGGTTACACATATAAACAAACATGCTCAACACATACTCAGAGAAAAAGGAAAAGATTGGAGTGACCGTCTCCCACTTGCTCTTTCCCTTATCTTTGCTCTCCCTCTCTCTTGCAGCAACGCAGTCTGCAGAGTCTGGAGGCCAGTCTGCATGCAATGGAAAGCACACGGGAGTCTTTAAAGGCCGAGCTCGGGACTGACCTGCTCTCCCAGCTCAGCTTGGAGGACCAGCGCCGTGTTGATGATCTCAATGACGAGATCAGACAGCTGCAGCAGGTATGTAATCGCCCGTTTCCACACTGAACCAGAGTGGGGGGGGGGCAGTCATGGGTTCGATCCTCTGAGCCAACAGTACATGACTGAAGTGCCCTTGAGCCAGGCACCTAATCCCCAACTGCTCCCCGGGAGCTGTGGATAGGGCTGCCCACTGCTCTGGGCAAGTGTGCTCACTGCCCCCTAGTGTGTGATTCAGTCATTATGAAATCTGTTTCAGAGCTGTCTAAAATTCAAATTAGATCTGAGCTATTTTAGAATGTGATTCTAGATCCTAGTTCAATACATGGCTGTAACAACGTGATTTTAATCAGAAGTCATGTGCTCACCTCGCCAAACCTCATCACCCAGACACCTGTCAGAGCACAGGTGTGACTAATGACAAACGTGAGTCACTTACAGACGTGAATGTGAACTATTAAATAGGACTGCAGCAACAATATGGCACGTGCGGTGGTGAGCTCGTTTCATGCAAATTCACTTGTTTTATTTAATTTTTTGTTTTGTTTTTTTCAGGAGAGCACATTTAAACTAGAAGCAGGACGTACTGTGTATTCGCTCTCATGTGATCATTGACTTCACACTGGCCGCACACAGCAGGCAGTAGTAGCGATCAAGTGTGCTTGTGTGCTCTCACGTCGTTCTTCACTCGTGACCGTAGAAAAACAAAAGTGCCATGGAAACGTTGCACTTTTTTGCTGTGCCGTGTGCTGTTGATACATTATGTTCAGTGATGCACAGCAGGGAGGTTAACCAAGTCTTCACAAAGTTAACCTCACACTCCTTTTATACTCCTTTTGAAGTATTTGATAGTGAGTTTCTGGATCTGAACAAATATATTGTATAAGTAGCTCAAAGCATGTCAGACAATTTCAGCAGGTATCTATATTTGTACACTAGCATCTACCCTGATTTAAAAAAAAAAAAAGCCTATGATGAGATCAAAGTAGCAGCAGTAGGTACTGATAGGAAGGATTTCACCCTTACTCATTACTGAAGCTGTTGTTGAAGTGCTAAATGTGCTCCCACACAGTGCAAATGAGGCTTATAGAATAGAGTAATGAAGAGAAACCAAGTCATTTGACATAATCTCAGTCTCAACTGCTATAAAGCCAGGCATATCATACGGTACTCACACTGTACGAAAACGTTCGGTCCGACTGACCTGACGCTACATGGATGCTTACGCTGCATGTGAAACGCAGGCCCTACAGTGAGCTCTGTCTACAATAAAGCTGTTTCAGTCAAAACAACACGCTGCGCCTCCGATGTCCTAATCAAAACACTGGCTGAATCTCAAACGGCTCCCTGCTCCCTACATAGTGCACAACATATTAAAATAGATGCATAAAGTGCATCACATGTCTAAAAAATAGCCCTCTGAGATTCAGCCGTGTGTTCACAGCTCCATACTGGACAAACAGTGCGCTATTTTGGTGTAGAAGCCAGAACTTAGTGCACTACTTAAGCAGTAGGGGGCTGTTTGAGATTCAGCCATCGACAAACCGCTACAACAGCTTTGCTAGAACGTGCCACACTGTGCACTGAAGCTGAAGAGCAGGCGGTCTACAGACGGACAGCTCCACGATGACAAAAACACTGTGTTTATTTACACCTTGCAATTCAACTCAGTCAAACGGAGCAAAGTCGTCATATACGGGCGCTGGTGCTGCAAAGGTGGACTTTTTTGCCTCCGTCTTAACAGTTACCAGAAAGCCAGCTAAGATGTTAAACAATAAATGAATCATCTGTCGACACTCACTGTACGTTCAAACCAAAACTTAAGGGCATGTTTGCTTTTTTTACTCACACAGCATTTCAAATGCCAAAGGAATATTACTTTTTAGTCATACAGAAGCCATTTGATTCTTATTTCTGTTCAGTGTGCAAGTTTTATATTATGTATTCTGAGAGGAGTCCTGTGTAGGTGGTGCATCTGGCAGCACACTCTAATCTTGTTTCAGTGCCCAAGTGACTTTAAGGAATATTTCATCCAAAAATACTAATACGGCTTCATCGAATGAAAGATAGTGGTGCTTGTTAAGCATGTCAGCATAAGCAAAGTGCTAACTAGCACCTGTTGACTTTTAGGTATTAGCCACTTTAACAGGTTTTAGGTGACATTTATTTCGCATATATTGCAAGTGTTTGTTCCCTTTATTGTGGTCTTAGCTTGTATGAACTGTATGAATTAAGATTCTCTTATAATTACTATATGAAGCTGACTTGCCCCACCGTCTCCGTTCGGTCCTAGAACTGTAACACACAGCTCGTTAGCACAACACACATTCGCACACGGTGTAGTAAAAGGTTCTTCTGTCATTACACAAGTGAACAGCAGAGCGGCCACCTCTTCTCATGTTCTGTTTGGCTTTCATTTGGTTTTTAATCAAGCTGTCTTTTTATTTATGGACTGTATTGTTTAAATATATAAGTGGGATTGGATTTTTTTTTTTTTTGTTGTTTTTGTCTTTAAATAAATGTTTGGAATACAAATGGGTCTTGACCCAGACAAAACATGGTGCATTTTAGGGATTCTGGATTTCTAAGAAGTTTTATTTATTCTGTTCTAGTTGATATGCAAGAGAGTCTAACGGGGCTGAATGATTTGAGGAAAATATCAAATTGCGATTTTTCTGCTCGATGTCGCGACTGTAATTTAAATTGGGATTATTTTCTGTCCAAGTCCAGGCCTGTTATTTCGGGCAAGAAGGCCAGAACATCCACTTTTTTCGGCTTGAGACTTGAACACTGAACGTGCCAGACTTCTGGTTAGTTGTTTGGTTGCTTCTGATTGGTCAAACTCATCTACAGGCAGTTTACAAGCTCTGATTTCAGGTTAATGCTCCCCAATTAGGAACATTGTTAATAAAAAAATATCTGTAATTAAAATTGCAATCTTTTAAATTGCGATTTCGATATAAAAACGATGAATCTTTCAGCCCTAGAGTCTAATAGTGAACGTGAAAATGTTGTTGGTACACAAACGTCTCATATATGAACAAGTTTGAAGCCCTTTAAACGATCAGTCAGTTAGTGCATGTGTAAAGATGATTTTTTTTTTCTGTCACAGGACAACAGACAGCTGCTGAATGAGAGAATTAAACTGGAGGGCATTATGACCAGAGTTGAGACGTACCTCAACGAGAACCTGCGGAAACGTCTTGATCAGGTGGAACAGGTGGGTTACACCAGGTTCACCAACTATTTTCCTGCTCTAACATATGTCTCATTCAGCTCACCAGGTGATTTACTAAGTCTTGGTTGAACACGAATGAGTCCAGTGAGGTATGTTAGGCGTGTGACCCACTACACTGCTGTGTTGGGCTTGGTGAGAATTATGGACTAACTGGAAACCATGAGGGTGAGGGCACAAAAAGATAGAGGAGCTGATCTATACTTGGTTGTGTTTTTAGGAGCTGAATGAGCTGAGAGAGACGGAAGGAGGAACAGTCCTCACAGCCACTACGTCAGAATTAGACGGCATCAACAAACGCATTAAAGATACAATGGCCCGCTCAGAGGGTGAGTACAAGGAAAATTAAGCAATAAACACTAAATAAGCAATAAATTTAAACGAACTGTTCAGTGTTGCTTGTTCCACAACGCGGCTGATGTTTGGCTGAAGACATTTTTTGTTGTACAGTGTCAGAAAACAAGCAAGTCTATTTGAGATTACTTAACGAGAAAGTAAGCTTGTCAGCTTCAGTGATAAACTAAAGAAGCCAACTTGAGATATCAAACGTTTAATCCAATCTATGGATTAAAAACACTGGTATATAGCTATAATATAATAGTGCCATGTTAACATTGTGGTCCTCTGTCTTAGACCTGGACTCACTAATCGATAAGACTGAGATTGAGATCAAGGACCACATTAAGAGCATGGATCGCTGGAAGACCATTGAGAAGGAGCAGAACGATGCCATCAACCATGACACCAAGGAGCTGGAGAAGATGACCAACCGGCAGGGAATGCTGCTGAAGAAGAAGGAGGAGTGCATGAAGAAGATCCGCGAGCTCGGCTCGTTGCCCCAGGAGGCTTTCGAGAAGTATCAGACACTCACGCTCAAACAGGTGGGGCTTCGGTCTTCTGAGTCGTCTTGCCTTTTCTCTTTTAATTCTTTCTTTCTCTTCTCTTAAATCTTAAGTCTCCAGTCTTGCAGTTTCTAATATCGTTTTGTCACTTCCTGTCCTGTTTTTGTTTCATCTCATCACCTTTGTCTCTCATCTTGACTCTTTCACCTGTTGGCCTTGTTACCTCTTTTCTTGCTCTTTTTACTTCTCCCCACTTTTGCTTCCCTTCATCCCACAGCTACACGCGTCAGCTGCCATTGCTGAATCCGTGCAACTTTCATCTCTTTTCTTTCTCTCTCTCTCCCATCCTCCCTCTCTCTCATCCCCCTTTTCTCTCTCTCTTTTCTGCTGTCTTAGGGCTCCCACTGTGTCACAGCCCTCCTACACAGAGGTGACTCACACCTTCATTATCCCCCCTTCTCCCTCTCCATTACATTAATTTCTCTGTGGACTCGAGAGAACGATGAGGGGGATGTTGAGAATCGTGTCATTTTCATCTGTGCAGCTTTAAATATCTTTGCGAAATTTCACCATGAGCTCCTGTTGAAACACCGTTTATGAGAAATTACCGCAGTCTATAAATGCAGCCTTGCTGAGCAGTGATTCAAAGAACAAGACTCGTTACATCACTGTATTTTTACAGCTGTATTTAGAACTTGCAGCTACTGTTTTTTGACCACCCAAGGACACAGCTTTGGGTTTACTAATAGAGAGCACTTATTGTTTGGTCGAGTGTGCATGGCAAGGTTGTTGATGTCTGTTCATCCAGTGTTGAAAACCATTCCAGTTAATGCAGTGATTCACAGCAGGGGCTTTATATACAAGAAAACATGCATTTTGGTCATGAACTACGTTTTGTTCAGAGTCTAAACACACTCTCTGTCTGCGCGTCTCTCTGCAGCTATTCCGGAAGCTGGAGCAGTGTAACACAGAGCTGAAGAAGTACAGCCATGTGAACAAGAAGGCTCTGGACCAGTTTGTGAATTTCTCTGAGCAGAAAGAGAAGCTGATTAAGAGACAAGACGAGCTGGACAGGGGCTACAAATCCATCATGGAGCTCATGAATGTCCTGGAGCTGCGCAAATACGAGGCCATCCAGCTCACTTTCAAACAAGTATGTACACCACGATCATCTTCTGGCAGGTATCTTCAGAGGTACCCGTCTGTAGGTGCTGTATCTGTATCTGCTGTTCGTTTACCGTCTGATTTTTCTGAACTCTTACCACATTTATTTATTTCATTAGCTTAAGGAATCAAAAAGGGCTGTGAATAAGTTTGATCTTTTTCTTGCAGGTGTCGAAAAATTTCAGTGAGGTGTTCCAGAAGCTTGTTCCGGGAGGGAAGGCCACTCTAGTGATGAAGAAAGGAGACGCTGAGGGGGGACAATCTCAGGACGAAGGCGAGGGCGGAACTGACAGTGAGAGAGGCTCCGCCTCACAGAGCAGCGTGCCAAGTGTTGACCAGTTCACTGGAGTTGGCATCCGGGTTAGTGGCAGATAACTGTGTTTGTGTGCATGTACATGTAATAATATATTCATAATTTTCTTGATAAGCTGGTGAATGATGGACTTTATTTATTTAACCAGTAGAACACAATGGAGTGTGATATACAGCTGTAATGTTATTGGCGATAACACACTCCTCGAGTGTTCTATTGCTTTTATACAACAGTTAAATAAATAAAGTAATAAATTAATAAACTGGGCTGTGAACGCGGCGTTTAATATGTTTTAATGTTCGCAGTTCCTTCAGCCAAATTATAGGTTATATAACAAGCAGCTTGTTGCTACGTCAGAGTAACGAACTCCGCCCACTCTGCTCAGTCTGCTGTAAGCTTCGCCTTTTGAAGGACAGACTGAGCCATAAAACTGCCGCAATATCAAGTTCAGCTCAGTTTTGTCAGTTTCTGCCAGATCAGTATTAATGTTGTTTTGTTCCAGCCAGTCTGTAAAACATCTTACAGCCCGTTTAGTTTGGCGAATGGTGTTGGGTTCATTTCTGGCTGATTCCAGATTGTTTAGCTGTTCTTCTGTCACAGCTGCCGACTGAAAAGCTGCTCAGTGGTGATGACAGTTTGGGAATTTAGTGTCGTCTCATCTTCAGAGTCTGACCAAATCGGCTGTCGGTCAAATGTGATCTTAAAAGTGTCCGTTTTCTGTTTGTGGCAAAGTAAGAAGTAAAAACATTCAAATGGCTCGAGCGTCTCCTACAGCAGTCAAAGTCGTTGCTTAGCAACAGCGTCTCAGCGGAGTAATAGTGTTTCTGGAAAACCCGTGATATTATGGCGAAATAACAGCACAGCACTCAACCAATCAGCTTGCGTGGCTGGAACTAACTGTTGTATAATTTGAGTGAAATTATTTAGCCAACATTTGTTGGATTGTTGTCCATAATTTCTGTACGATTATGTCTTATCAATGAGTTTTTCTGGGATCTGGTTCACCAAACTAATAAGCACATGCAGAAACTGTCAGTTGTTCAGAATGAACGCGCCTATGACTGTTTAAGACATTTTTTGTCCTCTGGTCATTGAGACAGTCCTAGAAATGCTAAGATAATCAGTCTGGTGTGAGGTACACATGGTCATACCATGCAGTCCTGTCTACATAACAATGCTTTGGGGAAATCTGGGCCACGAACTGGTATAAAATGCCTAGAGAATGTAAACGATACTATTGTTTTACTAACACTTTGTGTTTCTCCTGTCTTAGGTGTCATTCACAGGCAAGCAGGGAGAGATGAGGGAGATGCAGCAGTTGTCTGGAGGTCAGAAATCTCTGGTGGCACTTGCCCTCATCTTCGCCATTCAGAAGTGCGATCCTGCCCCCTTCTATCTGTTTGATGAGATCGACCAGGCCTTAGACGCCCAGCACAGAAAAGCTGTGTCAGGTGAGACTCTTGCCAAGTAGTATGAGCTTGTAACGGGAGCACCATGCATGTTGGACCATGTTAACTGGAGTCCTCTGGCTTTCATTCTTTTAGGCACATTTGAAAGAAATCTCTTGCTGTCCTTGAATCATGAGAACAGAAATGAACATCAGTGCCATTTTTGCATTGAAAAGCATTATACCAGTGTCCTCAGAACACCTGCAAACAGCAGAGGTCTTAGTCTAAACTGTGAGTTGGGCTGGGAATTGAAATTCAATACCTTTGTGGTACAGACTGATTTGCTTCAATACTGCAGACTGTCAAAAAAAAATCCACGTCCTTTAAAACGAAATTTCATTAACTGAGTACTTACCTCAGCCTTATCAGTGTCCGTGAGCCAGTAGGCATTTATCGAAATCTGGACTGTTGATTGGTCTAAATTACAATTTGTAAGCACCTTATTAAATCAGTGCTTCTCGATTAGTGCTTCTATCTGTTGCAGTCAGTAAATATTCTTGTGTTTCACGTGACGTCACACTGTATAGTCGGCGCCATTTTGAGGACCGAATCAGAGAGTGACTGCGCTGCGCGACGCCTTCAATCAGCAGTGCTTTGTGAATGATTCACTTGCGAGACGCGACAGAAGCCGAGAGACTCAGTGTTTCAGTGTTTTCACTCCAGGCTTGGAGCCCCTGCACTGTATAGTTTAGTGTTTCTCTCTGCTGTTCACCTCGTTCAGCTCAAGAAGGTGTTAATTAGCTAATAATATCAGGTATTTTAACCAGGAAACCACAGTTATGCAGTGCAGGGGTTTCAGGACTGGAGCTGAACTCTGAACTAACTGAACTAACAAACTTACAGAATCACGTCTGTCGCAACACGACGTTGTTTTCAGACCCACGACATTCAGTCTGATATTTAACGTTAATGTTTCTCCATTCAAACCTCATTTAAATCTCCAGAAACAGAGAGTGAAGTTATACCGGCTGTCTGCAGCTCCTTCAGGGGGACTGTTTATCTCTCGGCTATTAACGTTAGCTAAAGTTATCTAAAGGCCAGCATTGTTCACATCTGTGTTAATTAGCTGATGTCGTTACCCTCCTATGATCACAGAGTGTTTCTCCTCTTTATGCAGCACCATGGGATCCTTTACCCACCCTGACGTGAAGAACCGGTGGGCTTCTGTGTTTTTAAATTCTTTGAGAGACTCTCCAGAATAGTGAGAGGGGCTGAGTATGAGATAAATATAAATGTCAGGAAAACTTTTCCACCAGTTTAAGTGGAACCAGGAGTTCAGGGGAAACTATAAGGATCTCAGCCTATTTTATCGACTTTGTCCAGGTAACATATTTACTCTTCCAAAGTAAGGAGAGTAATTTTAGCCATATTTCACCTCTAGTTATGTTCGTACGGAGCAGCGAAGCCAGAAATTCGGTCCCTAATATGGAGGCCACGACAGAAAAATCACATGACTAAAACCCGAGGATACCCACGTCCATCACCTCTCACTCGTTTAAGCTACACACACTTTCAGTTTATGAGTATTAAAGTATTGAATAAGGCAGGCATGTCAGACTGGGGACCTTCTAGGTCAAAGTGCCATGGAGATCAGCGTTTACCTTCATCTAACTATCTGAATTCAGTTCATGAAGGCTCTGCTAATTAGCTGATGAGCTGAATCAGGTGTGTTTAATGAGGCAGTGTGCTGAAGTCTGCAGTGTTTTGGCCCGTAAGGATTGGATCCTGACACGTGTGAAATAAAGTATCGCTGAGGAGTCTGTATCAAAGTCGAGGTATCGGTATTGGTATCTGAATTGAGCTTAACAATACCCAGCCCTAATTGGAGGTGTTGGGGAGGCGGCTGTGTTGTGCGTGTGAATGTGCGAAGACAATGAGTCTTTACATTAATCAGAGGTTCTATACTGTTTCCACCCACTCAGGCCTTTCAGCAAAAACAGTCCTGTCTGTGTAGAAACTGGTGGATGAAGTCATTACCAATTACAGGAAACACATTCCTGTTCTTGATTAGTAGTCAGGCATTATTTTTGCTCTTATCTGTTTGTTTGTTTATTTTTGTAGACATGATCGTGGAACTGGCAGGACATGCTCAGTTCATCACCACCACTTTCAGACCAGAGCTGCTGGAGTCAGCCGACAAATTCTATGGAGTCAAATTCAGAAACAAGGTAACTTTGGCCAAAGTGCTTAGATCTGTTACTGCCGAAGACTCTAGGTTTAGTCTAAAGCCATGGAAAACCCGTAATGTTATTTTTGAATACATAGTTGTTTTATTTTGTTTTTTTTTGTTTTTTTTCCTCTGCATTTTGATCTCCCATCCCTATGAAACAGCATTTTTGATCACTGAAAATGACATTTTCTTTTTTTTTATATAGAATTTTTTTGGATTTTCTCCCCAATTTAGTCGTCTCCAATTCCACCCACTAGTTAGGACTCCCCCAGTCGCACACAAACCATCAGCGCTAGGACGGTGAAGGCTAACACAGGCCTCCTCTGAGACCCTGTGAAGCGCCATCACATTGTTTTGAACTGCCGCTAACGCAACGTCAGTGGACAGCCAAACACTCGGAGGAGAACACTAACTGCCAGATCAGTTACGTCAGCTAACAGACGCCGGCGCTGACTAGCATCACGTTTAAGTGTTGGGGGAGAGGGAGGGGCCATCCTACCCACCCAGAGAGGGAGGCCAATTGAGGCCGATCTCCTGATGAAAGGGCCGCGCTTAGACGGTCCCGCCATTTGGGGGCCCCATAATGACATTTTCTGAAAATGCTCTCCAAGGTGGAGCGAAAAACAGCTTTTTGAAAATGCTGAGACTGATAATGATCACGCCCCTAACTTGCGCATGCCTGTTGCTGTTTTCGTTTACCGAGCATGCAGAATTTTTCAGAATACGTCTGATCTCTGGGTTGTTTCTGTGTGTTCAGCAGATTGGGATGATGGTCACATGTTCACACCTGAGTTCAGTGTTACTTTTTGATTAAAACATAGTGTAGAAGTGTTAGAATTTACTGGGCTCAGTTCTTTTAAACATAGTGTGAACTCCATTATAAATACTGAAATATCTCACTGATTCTAAAGCTGTATGACTTGGTCGTCGTTAACCAGTATTCACCAATGTGAAAACAATCTTAACCTCCTGACACAAATTAAGTGGTAACTGATCGGGACGGTGTGGACATTTCGGAGTGAGTGGCATCGGCGCAGCAAGCTGTAGGCTTTTATAAATCGGACTTTGAATGTTGTGGAGTATTAAATTGCGGAGGTCTGGTGGCCTGCAGCTCAAAACCTACACTGTTTGTAACACTGCTGTCAATTAGAAAATCAGCTTTGCGACACGCTGTATTCTGTGCAGCGCAAATAGTATTGTGTTCTCCTGTGGACGGAGAGACTTTAAAAAACACTAGCCACGTTTACATACAGCCTAATAATCCGTTAATAATCCAACTAATAGCTCAATCAGAATAGAAAACATCCATGTAAACACCTCAATCGGAATAGTCTACTGTGATTGAGGCCATTCGGACTACAGTTTCTATCCGACTGAATGAGGAGGGTAATCCTGTAAATAATCCGTTAAATAGAAGAATAATATCCGTGTTAACGCCTGTATCTGATTACATTCCCTATCGGAAAGTTTAAGTCCGTTCTGATCATGTTCGTCGCGTCATAGTGAAAGTTTATACCGTTCAACATGGCGGAGCAGAAACTGGTCTGCAGAGGAGACGAAGTTTATGCTCTGATCTTTAAAAGACGGCGGTGGGACGGACGTCCAGCTTATGTGTCTCAGAACACGACGTCTTCCTCTCTGCCTTCTTTAATAAGGACACGTGAAGGACGTTTTCCTGAGTCTGACATCGTTTTAAAGCAATTAAAAACACAAGCGCTGCTCATCTCGCTCTGACAGGACTCACCTGATGCTGGTTGTCATGGTAACTTCTACACGAAAACGGAGATTACACGTAACCAGAGATTTTCCATCAGATTTAGCGTAAACACCTCAGTCTTAATCTATAATCGGAATGTGTTCAGTCGGATTGGCAAATGTCTTTGCATGTAAACACCGACACTGTTGGTCTGGACGAATATTTCTTTTTTTTTTTTTGAAAACTGAGAAAGGAAAAAAAGTTTCTACAAAGTTTTTCAAAAATGTCCGGACACATGCGGAGGAGGTCTGAATCAAACCTTAGATGGAAGAGGCCTTCTTTCTTTCTCACACTCACTTCTTCTCACTTTCTGTTTGTGTGTCCGTGTGTGTCATAAGGTGAGTCACATCGATGTGATCTCGGCGGAGCAGGCGAAGGACTTCGTGGAGGACGACACCACTCATGGCTAAATGACGAAGACTTTTCCTCTCCTCCTCCTCCTTTTCTGTCTGTCTGTTCTAGTTCCCACACTTCGTTCTGCCCAGTTGGAGTGAATGAAACATGTACCAGTTTTTTTTTCTAATCTGATTTTAAGCAGGTTAGGGTTTTTGTAAGCTGCCGTTGTGTTTGAGAAAAGCATTTTCTTTATTGTTAAATCTTGTATTTCACACAGAAAAAACACTGAAAACGCATGTTTGTTTTTAATTATTCTGCTGAAATGTGTTGTGCTGTTTTATTTTAACCCATTTATTTCAATTTGAAAGACACCCTGGGGGGCTGATCGTACGGATGCTTTTCAAAAGAAAAAAGAAAAAAAAAAAAAACGTATGGAAGTCAACTTTCGGATAGCTTTAGGCAGAGTGGGTGTGATGACACATCTTCAGTTTCTTCCCTCAGCCCCTCAGCCTGCCCTGTGTGGTAACGTTTGCATCTTGTTCAGTAACGGCCAAAAAATCCCCGTCAGGCCTGCATACGTTGGGAAAAACCTTTCAACTTGAAATAACTGAACGTCCAGTTTTTAGCCATCTGTTATATATTTCTCTCATTCTGTAGCTTCCCTGACTCATTAAAATATTGTTTTTAAAATTTTAAATTCCTTAGGCTATTTCAGATCAAAGTAGTCTATTTTACTTAATAACCCACTTTAATGTGTTTTTCACTCGTTATTCCAAAACAATAAATAAAGATGTCCAGATGTAGAGGCTGTTATTCTCGTTTCTTTCATCACCACTAGGTGTCACTGTTGTAAAAAAAGACGTAACATCGGTGCTACTGTTTTATACTCCAGCTCAGTAAGAGTGATGCGCTGTATTACAAGATAAGCTTTATCAAAGTAAACAAGATAAAAATAAGAAATTGTGTCTTCCATAATCATATAAATTGAAAAATATATAAAGGGGAAAGTTTGTGATAAGTTCGCTTTGAAGCATCACAGCAGTAAGAGCTTAAATGTTGATGCAAAATTAATAATAATCATTTGTTTTTTTTGTGAGTCTTTGATTTAGGAATGTTTTTCTGATGATATGAGGACTTTAGGATCAACAAGTGCTGTCATTTATCCAGCTATCTCATGCGGTGTTTGGTGAAAATGTTGTATTTTGGGGTTTTCGCTTTCTTGCTTTGTCCTGCTGTGTTTTTACTATGCAGACGCAGACGTTCAGAAACGCCACTGAGCACGAAATAAACAGATTCTAAGTTACTTCCAGGCTCAGCTCTGCAGCAAGGACTGCACCGCAAGTTCAAAACACCAGCCTGTGTTTAAAACAATGGGGCTCATTCACCAACTGTTCTTAAGAAGACATTTCTTCTTGCCTACTTTCACAAAGATTCACCAATATTTTCTTATTTGGGATTTGTTCTTAGGTAAGAACTGAATCTGCACACTTAAGAGCAGGTGTGGACGGTTCTGTGGTTTAAGAACACGTCATGAATCTGACGTAGACTTTTTAACCTCTTATTCTCCAGGGTATATTTTGGTTTGTCCATTTGAATTTACATGACCAAATTGTAAGGCAAATTATTCATGTAAATTTGTATTTTATTTATTTATTTATTTATTTTTAAAAGCTCCCCTCAAATTAACAGAACGTGTTTTATGATACACATATTGCTATATGCTTATAATTTACTGCTGAAAGCCAAAAATCTCAGACGCTCTTTGTATTATTTTATAAAAATAATGTTTAAAGATCAGATCACTGAAGAGACGCCATCTGTTTATAGTTTATAGCCCAGATTTGTGGAAAAACGGGTCGATTTTCAGTAGAAAAAAAATTGTGAGTTCAGCTTCTTTTATTATAAGGGTTTAAAATTACATCACCCATCTATTTGACTGGAAAGAAGACAGTCACAGCTCTCATATGACCCCCACCTTTTGAATGTAACTTATGAAATATGACAGTTATGAAGAATATGACGAAGTGCGTTTTGGAACCACCGGTGGTCTCAAGGAGTTAAAGAGGTTAATAGCATCTTTCTCAAGAACACATTTTAAGAAAAAAAATAGGAAGATATTAGAGAATGAGGCCCAATATTAGTCAATCCTTATTGTGATCTGGCTGAAGACTGACCCGAATTATACCGGCTGTAACTGCGTTTGGTGAATGTCATGAACACCTTCATCCAAAACGCCAACAAAACTCATCCAGGACTAATAGGAATTCGCCCTGATGGTCACAGTACACTTTTTTATTTGTTCCACTGGCAGAACTTTGCCAAACATACACTACATGTCCAAAAGTTTGTAGACACCTGCTCATGTTTCTTCTGAAATTAAGGTTATTAATTGAGTCTCTTCCTCTACAACAACCTCTGTTCTTCAGGAAAGGCTTTATGCAGGATGTTGGAACACTGCTGTGAGAATCTGATAGCATTCAGCCACGAGAGCGCTGATGAGGACAGTTACTGCACTGCAAAAAAAGGTATCTTGTCAAGTGAAATCAAATTAATTCTAGTTGATCTATCTAATGTCTTATGTTGAGATGGTTGTGCACTCATTTTAAGATTGTTTAGCTTATTTATAGATATTTTTACCTCTTTTAAGTCATTTTAAGTAAAATTCTCACAATACTGGCAGATCATTTTTCTGGTTCCAAGCACATTTCTTCATCTGCCAAAATAATGAGATGATTTTGCTCAATAAAATGACTTAAAACAAGTAAAAATGTTTGGAAATAGATTAAATAATCTTAAAAATAAGCCTACAACAATCTCAACAGGAGAAATGTTAGATATATCGACGAGATTTAATCTAATTTTACTTGACAAGATATTATTTTTGCGGTTTGTTGTTCAATGATGCGTTTGGAATCAATGCATCTCATCCCAAAGGTACTGGATGAAGCTCTATCACTTCTTAGAATGCAGTTGCTGGGGGGCTTTACACCCCTCTAGTCGACGCTCGGCCTTGGGCATGGTGACCTTAGGTTCATGTGCGGCTGCTCCATTCTATCAGCTGTGCTTTTCTATGAAGATTATGCAAATTATTGAACGGGTGCCCCTTAAATTAGCTCAGTCTTTTCCTCTGCTAGCTGATCTAATATCTCCTCAAGCTTTCCCGTCTCTTCTGCACTGTCAGTTACGTCTCTCACCAAATCGTTCCCCAGATATTATCAACACATGACAGTACACCATCATCAGGATGAGACCTCCGAAAAACACTCATAAATCTGTCGTCTTTTACAGCTCGTCTTCTGTACGAGTTAATTTGTTGTTCGACAGGTGTCGAGCTCATTACCACGAGCCCTCCCGCGGCGCGTCCTCGCCCTTTGCCTCGCCTCTTCGTCTCTCTGCGGTCAATGTTGGGGCGTCAATAAACTTGTCAGTTTAATGCGTGTCCTGCTGAGAGAACAGATGCGTTCACTGCAACGGCCACCGCACGGGTCACTCCCCTTTCAGTGGGGCATTCAGTAGGAGCCATCTGACCTGCACAATCAGCTATTTGTGCAAGAAGCTCCTGAGAAATGGGCAAATGGAGCTCAGCGAGAGCTGGTTTCCTTTCCCATGGACCCCGAATTCTGAAGAGAGATCCTTTTTGTGCTTTTAAATTTCAACACGTTCCCTCTTAAAGGCACAGTCGGCAATTTTGTGCAGTTCAACTCGCAAGCCGTGGTCGAAAGCACTTTGCATGCTTTTTGTGTGATTAGGGTTCATTTTAGGCCTCAAAACTCTTCTTTTCTTTTGCCGTTTTTAAATAACAAATTAAGAGCTTAACTTTCCAGAAAATTTTCCCACCTCAGGCTGTCAAATCAGACACTAGATGAGCTGTTTTTGCAACCCGGTTACCAATTTTTAGGGATATTTATCAATGGCATCCAATAGCCTGTGTTGAATTCAGTCATTTCTAGCAAGAAATACAGATAATTATGAAATGCATTAAGAACTTACAAATAAATTCTAAAAAATAGAATAGTTTTCTTGTGTTTTCTAAATTTCTTGTGTATATTAGTTCAAAACCTTTAGAGGTTTTTTTCTTACTAAACAAAGAAATCGTAAATTTTTTCTTGTATTAGCAATTTTAGCTAATGACTCTTGTTACCAAATGGACATTTCAGGTAACAAAACCTACTAAATTAAACGTTTTAAGACTATTTTCACCAAAAATGGCTGAACAACAAGGTTAAAACCCAGAAAACAAGGTTAGAGATCGAATCCCTCTTTAACTGATAATGCTGTAAATTAAACGTATGGCTGCTGTCGGGAGTAAACCTCATTTTTGTAGTTTTTCTGTTGTTGACATAATTTAAAAATACCTGTTGCTCTTTACATTTTTTGGGAATTTAATGAAGAACGGACCAAAAGAAACGGCCCAGAATGACTTGGAAAAAATTCTGGTTCCATTGACTTACATTAAAGGTAAAGTAGGTTTTTTTCTTCTCCTGTAAAGTCACCATTTTGGAGATACAAGGTTTTCTACTGACAACAGCGATATAAAGTATGCAACATAGAGCAGAAGGAAAAGCTGAAAAATTATTTGAATCAAAATGTTTTCATTGCAATATTTGTTTCAAGTCATTTTTATTCCAAATAATAATTGAAGGTTAATACACTGGGTAACAGGGTTGCAGACTTAGCCTAAAATGAGGAGCATTCAGGAGTGATTAGCTGGACGGTGCACATGTTGCATCTTAACTACTAATAACCATATAGATCACATACATTAAAAATATATTCTTCTTTCTGACTATAATTTTGGTAACAGGGTTAGATAATGCAGCCAATTAGATATTTGTGCATAAATTGAGAGAATAGAATGAGAATACTGACCTGTCTGATGGTCATTCTGCAGAAAACAACAAATTCCTGTACAGATCATAATAAATGGAATGTTCCATTTTTAGTATGGGGGGGGGTCTTTGGGTAACAATGTTGCACATAAAATGTGGGACATTTGAAAGTTAAAATGACCTTTTTGTTAAATAAATTATTAAATTATTATGTAAAAAAATAATTAACATTAAATTGCCTAAACCTGAACCAAAAAACATTAATTATGGTGTCACCGAAGATTTGAAAGGACATTTTTCATAAATGTTCAGTGTTGGTGAGGTGAGACAGCCCAAAATCACCATATTGAAAATAGATAAGACATTTTATGTGTTTTGTGATGGATTTAAATGCAAATCTTTATAATTCTATATTAAGATACAGTACAGATCCCTTTTTCACAGAAATAAAACGTCACTTTATTTGATTTAAAAAAGGTAATGCGACATAAACTGAACTCAGTTTAATAGATAAGTGTATTATACAGTGTTAGAAAACACACAACCAAGCTATTTGAGATTACTGAACAACTCAGCACAGTTTGAGGCAAGTGTGTGATGATTTAGGTTTGCAGTTAGCATCATACTAAGTGCTGAGGTCCTTATAGGAAAGTCTGTTCGCTCGGCGGCCATCTTGGCCACGCTGCCGGGCAGTTATTTCCAGCCATACAAGACCAAACTCCTCTCTCTGAATGGGGAAAGACCAAAATACTCGAAACTGAAGGTCAAATTATGGTTCCAAAAACAGATTTGAAAATCACTGCTAAAATCTGACATAAACCTCATAAATGTTGTGTAGCATTTGCGTTTGCATTTGCACAGTGCGTTTCTTTGTAATCTCTGGACATTTTCGTCTGAGTGAGATCACTAAAATGCTACAGGCACACAGTAAGTGGACAGTTAACTTTTTATGATGTAGCTTCTCTGGACATGCC